GATCCACTTACTTGGGAAATACTTCCGTACTGGGACTCTCTGCAAGTCATGGCTAAATAGGGTCCTGGAATGAGGCACCTGTGACAGGGAGGGGTGCAAAACCAAGGAGCTGGCCTAGACTCCCAAATATACAAACGAAACCAAGAGGGCTGCACTCACCTAAACATGCATACATTATAGGGTGCTGCTGGGGCCCAGCAGCACCCTATAATGTATGCATGTTTAGGTGAGTGCAGCCCTCTTGGTTTTGTTTATATATATATATATATATATATATATATAAAAATACTTGTAATTTATTTTAAACATGTTTCTATAATTTATTTTTACATTTTCCACCAGCAGGGGGACTATCTGACATTTCAGACAGTCCCCCTGATGGCAGATCCACAGCCAGCTATAGGGGGCCTGATTTGCCGGGGGAGGGCTGCCCGGGCTGTCAGGTAGTCCTCCCGAAGAGTATCGCTGCGGAGGTAAGTAAATCTGATCTCCTGGGGCTGCAAGCCGTTATGGCATTCTATGCCGCCGCAACGACTTTAAAGCCCATTTAAATGGGAACGGCATAGAACACCGTAATGGCGTTAAGGGGTTAACGGAGGGTTTCCGAGTGAAAACGGTCACACCACTTTTTATACATAACCATCTTATTGTTTTTTTATAGAATGTTATGTACAAAAGCAATCACAGCATGTGGTCTTACCCACTAAAATGAAGTCTTCATCAACCAAATTCTGTTAAAATAACCACATTTCAACTGAATTTGCAATTCTCATATTTATTAAATCAAATCTAGTTGAAATTAGTTGTTTTATTTTTTTTTTCAACGTAATCAGCAGTTACACAAAGTCCATCTTGAGATCTTTATAAAAATCAGCAATTCTCATATCCATTTAGAATATATCTGATTCACATATTAACTGAATAGTTATTAAACAGACATTCTGTTGCATCCAGACAGGCTGAACTCCAATCTACATTACAGCCTAATTTGGCGTTATATTGTAAAACCTGAACATTGATAAATCTTGCGAAGGAGGTCGGCTCGTCCAGTGCAAGGATTTTTTCTACACAGGCAAAGGTGCATTTTGCTTTCCCCCGCCCTACAGACATTTTTCTTGCTGTGTCTTGACAAAATGTTCTGGAGCTGTGATAGAAAACACAAGATTGCTATCTATTTAATCTATAATTACAAAGGATATAGATTTCAACAAACATGCCAAAAACCTGACTGTTGAAGGAACACTATACAAATGTGTATTTCGAACACTATAGTGCCCTTGTCATAGGCGTTTGCATTGGGGTGTGCCCAGGCACACCCTAATGCACCCAGTACACCAGCTGACCATTGCCCGTGCTCCCTCTCTGTTGTGAGGGAGATTTATTTTGAAACGCCACTGCCAGAGAGATTTATTTTATTTTTTTATATCTTCGCCACCATGGAGGAGCAGTGGGGACAAGTGAGGAGAGACGGCAGTAAGTCACTCATCTCGATAACTTTGAAAGGTGAAGGTCACACAGATACATAATAATGTCATATCCTTGCAGCCAACAGTCTGGGACATGGAGGACAGGCTGGGGGAGCGGATGATAGGCTAGGGACAGGCATCACCATCGCCACATTGAGGTATCCAGGCAGCAGTTGGTAAGGGACAGCTTAATGAGTGTCGTGTGTATGTCAGTGATTGTGTGTTAATAATTGTGGCGTGTCTATGAGTGTGTAGGGGTCACTGTGTGTGTCTGTGAGTATGTAGAGGGCCACTGTTTCTGTCTGTAAGTGTGTATGGGTCACTGTGTGTGTGAGCGTGTATGGGTCACTGTGTGTAAGTGTGTATTTGTCACTGTATATTTGTCTGTGCGTGTTTATGGGTCAATGTGTGAGTGAGTGTGTATATGTCACTGTGTGTGTCTGTGAGGATGTGTCAGTGTGTTTTTATGGGTCACTATGTGTGTCTTTGAGTGTGAATGGGTCACTGCGTGTGTATCGGTGAGTATGTGTTTGTCTGTGTGTGTTTATGGGTACTGTGTGTGTGCCCGTTTGTTTTCATGTGTGTCTTTGAGTATTTGTGGAACAGGGAGCCAGGCCATGATCATAGCCACAATGGCCACCAGGAACCATGGCTCCTCTTACTCTTGTGCTTCTAAATTTAGTCAAACAAAAAGTGTTCTCAAAGTGAGCCACAACTACCAGGCTCCCTGGTGTCATACTCTGTGATCCAATCTGTAACGATCAACAAAGGAGAAATAGCAATTAAAAAAATGATTCCAGTTCAGCTCTTTTGGGTTTATATTTGAAATTAAGTTTTCATCCTCAGCACTTTAGGGAATAACCCTGAAATGGATTTTACATTTTAAGCCAAAATAGTTAAAATTGAAACTCTCTCAACATTATCAAGCCAACTACAGGATTTATTCATTAAACTCGAAATGGGCAGCAAATTGAATCAAACATTATTTTTTACACGACAACTTACAGAAGAAGTTATCTTTCTGTAAATATGATTTGGTAACCATAGTTTACAATCTCTGTTTATCTTCTCTTCATTTAACCCCTTTAGGACGGAGTCAATAGTGCACGTTCTGATCAAAACAAAACGTAAACAAAAACTGGAATTTGCGCTATATGTCTGTTCAACCGTAATTCACCGCTGTAACATTAAGTGCACCCACACTTATTACATATCATTTTGTTCAGGAGAAACAGGGCTTTAATTTATCATTAACTATTCATATATGGAACATAATTTATTATGAATAAAATTTAATAAAATGTGAGAAAATAAGATTTATTTTTTTTAATTTGTATTTCCGTCTGACATTTTAGCTGTGAATGTCATAATACTGTTAGGTTTTACTGCAAAAAAATGCACATATTTGTAATCAGCGATGTCTCACGACTACAAAAGTACCCCCCATTAACAGGTTTTATGGTGTTTTGGAAAGTTACAGGGTCAAATATAGAACATTCCATTTTCAAATTGAAATTTGCCACATTAGTAATATTACCTTTGAGATGGTGTGGTCAGGGCCGGCGCTTCCTATAAGGCGAACTAGGCAGCCGCCTAGGGCGCCATATAGGAGGGGGCGCCCCTCTATAGAGAGCGCTCAGGCGGCTGCCGCAGTGCCTCACCTCCCCGGCACTGTAGCGTGGCTGAGCTCCTTTCCGGTCCGCGACCCGGCCGGACTGACAGGAAGTGCACACTCAGTGTGCACTTCCTATCAGTCCCGCCAGGTCGCGGACCGGAAAGCAGCTCGGCCACGCTACAGAAGGGCAGGGGAGGTGAGGAGATGATTATAGGGGAGGGGAGGGGGGATTGGAGGGGAGGACATTATAGGGGAGGAGGGGGGGAGATTATTGAGTGGGGGGGAGGACATAGGAGGAGGGAGATTATTGAGGGGGAGGACATTACAGGAGGGAGGGGGAGATTATTAAGTGGGAGGACATTACAGGGAGGAGGGGGGGAGATTGAGGGGGGGGAGGACATTACAGGAGGAGGGGATTATTGAGGGGGGAGGACATTATAGGGGAGGGAGGGGGATTATTGGAGGGGGGAGGACAGGCATTATGGGAGTGGAGGGGAGATTATTGGAGTGGGGAGGAGATTATAGGGAGGGGGAGAAGATTATGGGGAGTGGGGGAAGATTATTAGGGGGAGGAGACTATTGGAGGGGAGGACACAGGAGGGAGGGAGATTGGGGAGGACATTATAGGGGAGGGGAGGGGGGAGATTATTGGAGGGGGGAGGACATTACAGGGAGCGAGGGGGAGATTATTGATGGGGGGAGGACATAGGGAGGAGGGGGAGATTATTGGATGGGGAAGCATACTTCATGTGGAGGGAGGGGGGAGGCTATTGGAGGGGGAGGAGGGGAGATTATTGGGCTGAGGGAGGACATTATAGGGGAGTGGAGGGGGGGAGATTATTGGAGGGGGGGAGGACAGAGGGAGGAGGGGGGATTATTGGTGGGGGAGGACACATAGGGGATGGGAGGGGGGAGATTATTGGGAGTGGGGAGGAGATTTAGGGGAGGGGGAGAAGATTATAGGGAGGGGGGGAAGATTATTAGGGGGAGAGGATTATTGAGGGGGAGGAGGATTATTGGAGGGGAGAAGATTATAGGAGGGAGGGGGGGAGAAGATTATAGGGGGAAGATGGAGGGGGGAGAATATTACAGGAGGGAGGGGAGATTATAAGAGGGGGGAGAACATTACAGGGAGGGAGGGGGGAGTGGAGAAGGTTATAGGGGAGGGGGGAGAAGATTATAGGGGGGGAGAAGATTACAGGGAGGGAGGGGGAGTGGAGAAGGTTACAGGGAGGGGGGAGAAGAAGAGAAGATTACAGGGGAGAAGAAGAGGAGAACACGGGGAGGGGGGAATAAGAGGAGAACACGGGGGGTGGGAGATGAGAACGTAGGGGAGGGAGAGACCACTAAAGGAGGGAGGGGGCGGTGGAGAGACCGCTAAAGGAGGGGGGTGGAGGATAGACCACTAGGGGAGGGTGGGGGGAGAGGAGTGACCACTAATGGAAAGTCGGGGAGAAAAGGAGACCACTAAGGGAGGTGGGGGAGAGAGGAGAGACCACTAAGGGGCGGGGGAGATCTCTAAGAGAGAGCTCTATAGGACAGGGGGCAGGACAGGGAGCTCTTTCACACCACGCGCACACACACAATGCATCCCTATACACACAGAAACACAACATGCTTCCCTTACACACAGAGAAACACACAATGCAACCCTTAGACATAAAGACAATGCATCCTTTGCACACATACACAGAAACACACAATGCATCCCTTACACACATATGCAAACACACACTGCTTCTCTTACACACACACAGAAACACAATGCATCTCTTACACACACTCAACGCACCCCTTACAGACAAACACACAATACATCCCGTATACACAAACACTCACTGCTTTCTATCCCTTACACACAAACACACTGCATCACCTACACAAACTGGTATCCCTATACACTACATTCCATAAGCACACACATTAGATCCTCTACAGTAACACATAACACATCCCCTACACACTCTACTCCCTGTGAGCGGACTCATGTAGGTGGACTTATGGGTGGGCTTTATGGGCATACTCACCGTCAGGCCCTGGGGCCCAGACCTTGAGCTATGTAAGAGGCCCCACAAAATTGAGCTGCTTCCCGTTCTCCCAGAAGATTGAATTTTGTGACCACAGTTACAAACAGCCTCCAGAGATCCTGTTCTACACCAGACCAGTGGAGCCAGACTGCAGCCACAGCCCATCATCATCCTCATCTGATTGTAAGTAGGCAATCTAGTATATTATTAGTGACACTAATCTCTAATTTACCTCACAATAAATGGACACTATAGTCCCCAGAACCACTGCAGCTTAATAAAGTTGTTCTGGTTTCTATAGTTTGTCCCTGCAGGCTTTTTAATGTAAACACACACTGTGTGCAGCACTGGCACTAGTTCATATGGCAGATCATATGGGTGGGGCATTGCAGGCTCCGGGGGGCGGCAAATCTTTCTTTTGCCTAGGGCGGCAAAAATCCTTGCACCGGCCCTGACTACAGCTGATGCTGCTGGTGCAGCTAAACCAGAATCCGCATGCTGGGAGGGCCCATCGGGTGTCCCCCACACTAAGGGACACTTCATGGGCATTTCTCATGAGGGTGATGGAAGGAAGTCATATGGTGATGGGAGGAAGTGAGGTCAGTTCACTTCCTCCCAGCTAACAGATAGAACTGCACAGGAAGGGCTGGGAGAATGCACACAGGATGGGGTAGAAAGGAAAGAGTAAACTTCCATCAGCCCCAGACGCCCATTAGCCTCATCCAGCAGCCCCACTAGACCCAGGGAAGCCGCCCCCTGCAGGCATAATGTATGGAAACAAGAGGGTGGCGAACAATATGGAAATAATGACTGTGTATGTGAGTCTGTTGGTATCCATGTGTACGTGTATCTGTGTCAGTATGAGTGTGTATGTGTGTGCAGCTGTATATTTGTGTGTATGTGTATCTATGTGTGTATGTGAGTATCTGTGTGTGGCAGTGTGTATCTGTGTTAGCATGTCTGTATATGAAAATGTCAGTTTGTGTGTGGCAGTGTATGGCACTGTAGTGGCAACAGTGCAAAAAAATACATTCCTACATTCACACACATATACTTCATACAAAAACATGCCTACATTCAAATGCACAAACACTGCTCACAAATACAACTCTACAAGGATGGGCAAATGGTAGATCCCCATCTGGCAAAACATTTTAGAGCAGGTGAGTATCCACCTTTTGCACTAGGGCCCCCTCTACATTAGTTCTGCCACTGCACAGGATCATTATGTATTCAAAACTGCATAGGAATAATTGAAGGTTGAGAACTTCTTTGATTGTTTTTCTGTAATTTTAATATACCAGTTTTCTGTATGAATGTCCCTGTACTGTACACTGTGTAACCCTTTAAAGCAAAGAGGAAATCAGTTGCAAATATGATAAGGGAACTAAGTTCACACTGCACTAGAACTCTGGGTATGACTAATATTGAAATTAAATTCTGAAAGTAACAAAAACTCCTATTCCTATGGCCAGCCTCCTCCCTACAGACTATCTTGTCACAGAAAACCCTGAACCTTGTCTAAAAATGACTATTCTCACCATCCCTGGGTTTCCACCCTTTACCCAGCAGATGCAACCTACCCAGCCTCCATCATTCCAGCCACCCAGTTGTGGTAGCACCCACATAGAGACTAGGGCAGCCAGCAGCATGGTACTATGTACCAAATCGGAACTTAGTTGCTGCCAGTCAAACTTTTAATCATGTGACCATTGGATACTGTATATGGCGCTCTTTGGACGGAGGGTAGCTAAGGGGGTGAGCTATTTGACAATGTATTGGATGTGGGGGTGCTGTGTTGGAAAATGGGGCTTTAGGACCCTGTGCTCCCAGTGCTCTGGCTGAATGTGGCTCAGTAGGTGGGAGACTGCTATCAGCCTCAGACTTGCTGGTGCTATGTGGGAACTGTCTTTTGTTATAACCCCCCCCCCCACCCCAGAGGTTGAATACCCATTCACAAGTGTATGAATACTGTGTGATTGTGCTAATAAAGTGTACTTGTTTCACCCTTCATCAAGTCTCAGCTGATGTTTGGGGAAACTACTAAACAGGCTGTAATTGCTCTGGATGCCTGAGCTTTATGAGGGAGGCTAGCGGAGACACTCTGGCTGAGTAGGGGAGCTCTGTCACACTGCATTAATAATTTAACTATGGATGGTAGTAATAGTAGCCCATTACTACCATCAATAGTGCTTTGGAAAGGTCTGATACATGCACTCTAGAGTGAACATGTCACCTGTATATCAGTGTACAACAATAATGCCAATAGATAAATATTTGTTTTATAAGCATTCTTGAGTAAATTAGGCTGGGAAATTTGTCAGTGTTTCAGTGAAGAGACAAACATCTTGGAATTGCATCATAAAAATAGTTATTATTTGAATCTCTGCTTCATGTCTTCTGTGGGTAAGCTTAGTTGGAAATATTTAATTTCTAAAAATCATGTTAACATGATAAACAGACTTAACATGATAAACAGAAGGTATTGGCAATTCAAAATTATACACACTCACAGCATCACCAGGAACACTGCAACATGTAAAAACAGAAGAAATTAGAAAATCAATAGTGCAATATGTTAAGTTATCAAAGTTTGAATTTGTGTTTAATTTTAAAATTGAACCCCCGCAATATATTGATATTAAATCGACTCTTTTAACTTGGTAGGTTTCTGCATACCTGGTCAGCAAATTGAGGTGAGAAATACTTAAAAATCACCCTCACGGGGGCCACCAACCTTTTGCTTCAGCTCCTGGTGCTTCATCCGTCATTGGGCTTCTTCATATTTTTCTCATGTGCAAAAACCCAGCACAAAGGAGATTCGAGATACTAGACTTGGAGATTAATTTCAGAAAGAATTTCAATTTGGGGCCGAATGTGTGTTTGTGCGAATTCCCAAAATTCAAACTAAATTGTACCTGAATTACTGACTCACTGAATTGTGCAATGCCTAACATGTTCGGAGGTGGTGTCAATATCTTGGTCTGTGGTGCCAAAAAAAAAAAAGGATGATTTGATTGCTAGGGGACAGTCACTGAATGATTTTATCCACAGATCAAGTGAGAAGTGAGCAAGAGGGGAAAAACGAGAAGTAAAAAACAAACAAACAATATTTATATATTATATATTTAATAAATATATTACATATAAATGTAGAATTTTTACTGTTCCTCCTTTTTTTTGTTTGTCTATTGATTAATTTTTCACTTGATCTGTAATCCAAATGGCAGGAAAATGCTCCTAATCAGTGTACTTCAAAACATATATATATTCGGTCAGATGTCAGACATCTGGCCGAAATTCGGTTGTCCAAAAAGTTTTATATTTAAAAAAGAAAAAATGATTTGGCAATACCAAAAATCCCTTTGTACACAAGTCTACAAGATACTCCTTAGACCAACTCTCATGATGCGTGAGAAGATGCCTGCTTACCCTAAAAGTTGATGGTTCGGATGTTATCACGTTTGAATATATCCACTTGTTTTAAAAAAAACATCAGAATTTTTTCTCACACTAGGTGAAGATACTTTTAAAACTTTTAAGGGTGCATCGACTCTTTATGTTAGCATAGCCCTTTAACTGTAATTACATTTTACAATATTTCCTCTACATCCACGTATACTTGGCTCTCAGATGTAGATAAGGAAAGTGCTACTAGTGTATTTCTCCTGCACATTACAGTGGGTGAGCATGCATTTAAAGAGCAGCTCCATCATGTTTTTGGCCTTTGTCATGTAAGATTATGTTTTACAACTCTTAATTCATATTTATGCAATGGTATAGTATTTGTTTTAGATTTTCCTAGAAGTTAACAATCTCAGATGATGTTCCCTAAAGGTAACATGTAGATTGTAAACACCATTTTGTTCCCCACATGATAGACACAGCAATCTATCAGAGCATAAATCCTATGAAGCATTACTTTGATATAGTGTTGTGAAAGACTTAGTCAGCCTATGCTGAGTTCCAGGACAGACCTTCAGATGTTTAATATTGCTCCATGGCTCACATGGATGAAGAGGTAATCAGCAAAAAAAAAACTTTCCCCAAGAACATTATTAAAAACATGACCTGTGTGATCTGTACTCGCTGTAGTGGGTCTTCCATATGATGGTGATAGATTGATAGTTGTGTTAAAGTTAGACTTCCAATGATTATCATGTGTTTTAAAAAAGGACTCATGTTAGGAATGCAATCTGGATCCAATAATGGTCTTTTCAGAAGTGTTCGGAGAATTGCTTCATTTGGAGATTCTGGAAAAAATCAGGTAAACTGAAAAAAGTAAAAGCATTTTTGCAAAAGCTCAACTAATGACACCAACATATACTGTGAAAGTGCAATTTGACCTGACGTCAGGTGAGTGGTTGATGCACAAAACTGCAAAATTGTTTGACCAATTTCAAATTTATGGGCAATTTTAGGTGACAAAATGGGTCATTGCTCCTTGCTCTCCAAAGCATCCCTTTTTCTTAAAAAAAAAAAAAAAGTAATTATTTAGATGCATGCACATAATTTTAAATAAACAGAAGACAAGGTTTTCAAACCTCACATATCACACATGCATTCTTATGTATATAAAGACATATGACAATCCTAAGTAAAATTCAATCATTTTGAATATTTTCAGACTTTAAAAGTCGACCAGGATGTTAATCTCTGCAGTGGCAGAAAAGGTTGTGTTTCATGGTTACTCTCAAAAGGAGGTCTGGCAGAGTGGTAGCTTTCTCCCATTTTTCAAGGCACCATTTGGGTTTCAAACTGTGATAGTTTCCTTTAGTGTCTCCATCAAGGTTAGAGAAAACCACCCATTCATAATAACAATTTATCACGGTTGCATACAAACCCAACACGCAGTACGTAAACCCACAGAAAGCCTAAGAACGTATTACCGAACCTTAGAATGGTCAGGTTTAACGTAGACAGAGAAGAGTAGTGAAGGAATAGCCAGAAGTCAGGATACCAGAGATCAATAGAGCGATACAGGAATAGCTGGGTTAGGATACCAGAAAGGAGAAAAGTCAGGACACAAGCCAAGTCAGGTAACCAGAGAACAGAAGAGGCAATAGCCAAGCCGAGTCAAGCCACACTATACCAAGAAATCACTGAGAATTATCAAGAAGCACTATAGGGAACACTAGAAACCACAATGGGGCAAAGAACAAAGCAAATGACGCCCCCCCAAAACGTTCTGGCCGGTACAGATGATGTGGGACCGCAGCATCAACGTAACGATATTGGCGCGTATGCGTTGTGTCATCAAAAGGGACGTGATTCCAGCGTCCGGCGTGGGACATGCCGATCTGACTTTGAGCGGAGTCTGATAGCTGATAGTTCTTGCCACAAAGACAGGAGACAGGATTTCAGCCAGCATGGATGCTTGTTTTGAGCCAGACTAACCAGGCCCAGGAAAGACAAATGCAGACCGCAGGAGGGAGAGCTGGAATCAGAGAGAGGGTGAATGTATGTCAATCTCCTGCATTCACATACCAACACTACACACAAACACATCACTGCATTCAGAAACGCTACAGACAAATAAATCACTGCTTTCAAATGCCAACACTACACACAAAAGCAACTTACATTCAAAAACCAACAATACAAAAAACATACTCCTGCTTTCAAACGCCAACACTACACCCAAAACCACCCCACCTCTGTATTCAAAGATTAACACTACACGCAAACACATCCATGCATTGAAACAGCAACACTGTACACAGCTCTGCATGCAAATACAAACACTACAAAATACTCTTGCATTCAAACACTAACACGACTCACAAATACACCTCTGCTTTCAAACACCAATACTACATGGAACATCAGTTTTATACACACATACACCATAAAAATGCGTAATACAATCCTGCAAGGATAGGCAAATGGTAGATTCACAGCTGGCAAAGCATCATGGGAGTTGTATGGCAGTTAGGAATCTACCTTTTGGTCAACCTGTTGCTCTACAGAGGAGCTCAAAACCTTTTTTTGCACTATGGCCCTTTCTACCTCTCATAGGTGTTCCTGAGAACACAAACTAACTCATTTATTTGCTCCTTCTCCCTACAAGAGTGGTGTCCTTGTTCAATTCACATCTTTTTTTTGGGGGGGAGGGGGGGAAATCTGGTTTTGGACAGCTTTTCCTCTGTTGAAGGGCTTTGTAAGAAGGAAAAAACAGTTCCGCTCCCTTCCTTTTTGAAGTATAGAATGGTGAAAAATCTGGACTCAAGACTATGGCCCCGATTACATTTCATCTGATCACGTATAATGGCAGTTTTTCTGCTCCCAATAAGCCATTTAACGGTTCTGAGTGACTTAATTACAACAATAAAATGCTCATCAGAAGCAGAAAAAAATATATATTCGAACATCAAATCCGACACATGTTTTTTACATTAAAAAAAATAAAGGCATTGGTGATTCAATTCCAAAACGGATGTATAGCTGGGGCTCTAATATTAAACTGTATAAATCAAGATTAGGCAACCTTCAGCAATTCAGATATCCTGGACTACATCTCCCTTGATGCTCTGCCAGCATTGTAACTGTGATAGCATTATGGGAGAAGTAATCCACAACATCTGGAATGCTGAAGGTTGTCTACCCCTGGTATTGATCATGCCTCTGAAGTCTCACTCCCCAATTCTCTGCATTTAGGAGTTAAATCTATTTTTGTTTATGTTTTTGCTGCCCTAGCCACACCTCAAACAAAGGGATAAACTGCAAAATCCTATAAAATATAAAATGAAAGATAAAATGGTGCAGTACCCTCAGAAAACACCATGACCATGTGTATAAAATGGCACTCACAAACACAAGAATTAGAGAACCTTCAATATAAATAAATTTTTCTTTATATCTCTATGGACCATCCATCCTCAGAAGAATAAGGATAAGAACCCCAGTAGAATTAAATGAGATACAAATAGTGCAGGATGCCAAAGAATTAAAAATGAACAGCACATTTATTATATATGCAACTTAAAAACATATAAGCATGCAATCAACTTCACCAGTGACGAGGTCACCACTGCTCTGCGACCAATGCATTTCATCACTCTAGTTGTCTTCTTTAGAGACTCTTTGAATAATGAAGATGAAGTCCTCCTTCAGTGATGTGGCATAAAGTTCATTTTGGCAGTCCCACTATTTAAATAACCTGCCCTGACCTTCTATATGTTCTCCCTTGATCACTGGTGAAATTGATTAAATTATAGGAATCATTTTACCCAGATATACTTAAGATGAACAAGATTACAATTAGGCGATTTGCCACACAAAAAGCAAAATGACAATATGTTTCCTCTTGGTAGGAGAATTTTGCACAATTTAAGAAAGGATGGTACAGAAGAAAAAAATAATTGAGCAGAACTAGGTAACACAGCTAAATGGAATTCAATACTGCTAGTTATTATATCACACTGTAGAAAAATGACTTCTAATGACTAATCATTTACACAGAGTGTACATGTTGAAGTAAACACTACATATCATAATTACTGACTTTCATTTGCTTTGTTTTACAAACCATTTTTAGGCCAATGGATTTAAATAATTAATTTCTGAACAGACTGTATGGGATAATGTAATGTGTCAGGATTATAATTGATCCAGCACGCAGAATAGTCTCACACCTAGGACTAAGGATGAAGTTTAACAGGACCCTTGGAATGGCCGGACTTAACGTAACGGAGAATAGTCAAAATACTTGCCGAGGTCAGGGACACAGAACGTGACACAACGATGAGTAAGGCCAGAAGTCAAGCATACCACAAATCAGGGAAGTCAAAACAAAGCAAAAGTCAAATACCAGAAAATACACGATCAGGAACACACTCTCGGATAACCAGCTAGTGCAAACCAGCTAGTGGAAAGGTCCTCTTGGTCCTTGTTTATCCAATCTGGTCCACCGTTGTCGTGGACGTTTCATTTACAGCTTGCCGTACTGATTTCCGAAAGTGACGTCACGTCCATTCGTCACTTCGGGTGTTGGCATCGCCATCTTTCTTACTGTTTTTTCTGTGGATTTGAAAAACATAGCCTTTCCTATCATTTTAAATTAAAACACAAAGGTGAGCAATTTACCATTTGGTGCATTAATTTGTTCAGATTTCTTCAAACATACTTCACCAAAAAGATCTTTTTTGTGTGTTTTCTTCTGAGTATTGAAGAAAGAAAATAAAAAGAGGGAAGGCGTCTCCCAATATACACCAAAGCTAACGTGATTTGAGCCAGTCCTCCACTTGGCTCTTCACTTGTGAGTTTAAATTGTATACATTTTATTATCTATGTATAATATCTGACATATTCCACCACTGGAAATTGTTTCCCCTTTTTCTTGCATATCTAAATCTTCATTTGGATTACCTGACACCAATAAGTTTAGGGGTAAGTATCATTCAGCGCTCCACTTAAGGGACTTTGTGGTGGGTGTTTTTTTCTTACTAACCCTCTCTCAAATTTCCTAACCCTTATTTTACCTTCCAATCTGGTGGACTAGAGAGATCCACATAAAAGTATTGTAGCAGCTATTTACGTTATATATTGACTATCATTCCCTAAGCGCCTACCTTCCACACAGATCACCTTTGTCACATTTTTGTAATTGGTTGTCTCTGGCCTCTGACTCCAAAATGTGCGTGTGCGTCTATGACGTCGCACGCATGTTGGCGCCATCTTTGATGTGGGCGAAAGGTGAGCTTCCGATTAAAGACTACACAAGGACCAGCTCGAAGAAGGATGGGGACATCCTATTAAGAGTCCCTCTGCACTACCTACGAGAGCCATATGTTATTTGGCTCCAGGCTTGTGAGAACTTGACATCCACAATATCTGTACATTATTTATACTGGCAATATTGCAAATATGTTATTTTGTTTTTTTCTATAGAATCATCAGACGTGGGTAGCACGTGACGGAACCGCAGCGGCCGGCGTCTCTAGGAATGTCGTACTCGCTGGGGACCAGAATGGAAGGAGGTCGGGCAGCGGTTTGCCACGACCAAGGAAAGTATACAATATCTCTGTCGGCATTGCCGCTTAGTTTATGTATGGCCACGCCAGCAGAAGAACGGGGAGCCGTGACAATATGGAGTATGGCATAATGTTGTGATATGTTACCAGTCTGTAGGCTGAAATACTATGATGGGATAGCCATCATAGTAAATAATTGGGTGGGCAAAGCGCGGCTCGGCTACAACCCAATAAATTACAGAATGATTTCAATTCAAATTCAAGGCAAGCCATTTAACATCACAGTGATCCAAGTTTATGCTCCAACCATGGATGCTGAAGATGCTTAAATTGTCCAGTTCTATGAAGATAGTCAACACATGATAGATTTAACACCAAGAAAAGATGTTACTATCCTCATAGGAGACTGGAATGCTAAAGTAGGCAAGTTTGGCCTTGGAGTTCAAAATGAAGCAGGTCAGAGATTAGTAGAATTCTGTCAAGATAATTCTCTGGTCATAGCATACACCTTCTTTCAACAGCCTCTGAGACGACTCATGGACAACACCAAATGGAAAATATAGAAATCTTATATATACTTTGTAGCCAAAGATGGAGGAGCTCTATACAGTCAGCAAAAACAAGACCTGGAGCTGACTGTGGCTCAGACCATGCAAAGTTTAGAATTAAACTGAAGAAAAGAGGGAAAACCATCAAACCAATCAGATACAACATAAATAATATCTCTTATGAATATGCAGGGGAAGTAAAGAATAGATTTCAGGGACTAGACATGGACGATAGAATGCCTGAAGAACTTTGGACCGAAGTGTGCAATATTATCCAGGAAACCGCAAGAAAAAATATCCCCAAAAGAAAGAAATCTAAAAAGGCATACTGGCTATCTGATGAGGCTTTAAAAATAGCCCAAGAAAGTAGGAAAGTGAAAGGTAGTGGAGATCGGAATAAATTTATGCAACTGAATGCAGAATTCCAAAGGATAGCAAGAAGAGACAAGGAGACATTCTACAATGAGCAATGTAAAGAGATGGAAGATAACAGAATGGGAATGTCAAGAGATCTATTCAAGAAAATTTCATGCCAAAGTGGGTGTGATAAAAGACAAAAATGGAAGGGAATTAACAGAAGAAGATCAGCTAAAGAAGAGATGGCAGGAATACACTGAAGATCTATACAGGAAGGATCTTAACAGCAGTGATGACCTCAATAGTTGGTCCAATGAGATGTAACCAGTTATCTTGGAGAGCGAAGTGAGATGGGCCCTAGGATGCCTTGCAGATAACAAGGCTGCAGGAGTTGATGAAATCCCAATTGAACTATTCAAAATTCTGCAAGATGATGCTGTGAAAATTCTTCTTGCCTTATGTCAACAAATTTGGAAAACTCAACAGTGGCCAAAAAACTGGAAAAGGTCAGTCTACATTACAATCCCCCAAAAATGCAATGCCAAAGAGTGCTTCAATTATCGAACAATTGCACTAATTTCACATGCCAGCAAGGTAATGCTTAAGATCCTACAAGCTCAATTCAAACAATACATGGACCGGGAATTACCAGGTGTACAAGCTGGGTTCCGCAGAGGACGTGGCACAAGAGATCAAATTGCCAATGTACGATGGATAATAGAGAAAGACTGAGCGTTCCAGAAAAACATCTACTTCTGCTTCATAGACTATTCTAAAGCCTTTGACTGTGTGGATCACAACAACATGTGGCAAGTTCTTAAAGAGATGGGAGTACCAGATCATCTCATCCGCCTCCTGAGGAATCTGTATGTGGACCAAGAAGCCACAGTCAGAACCGAACATGGGACAACAGAATGGTTCAAGATCAGGAAAGGAGTGTGACAAGATTGTATATTGTCACCTTATTCAACTGATGAATCCAAAGCTGGAATCAATATTGCTGGAAGAAATATCAACAACCTCAGATACACGGATGATACTACTCTGATGGTTGAAAGTGAGCAAGAACTAAAGGACCTGTTGATGAGGGTAAAAGAATTGAGTGCAAAAGCTGGCTTGCTACTTAATGTTAAAAAGAATAATATCATGGCAAACAGCAATCTTAGTTCCTGGCAGATAGATGGGGAAGAAGTGGAGGCAGTGACAGATTTTATTTTCCTGGGATCCAAAATCTCTTTAGATGGTGACTGTCGTCATGAAATTAAAAGACATTTGCTTCTAGGGAGGAAAGCTATGGAAAGCTTGGATAAGCTGGTAAAAACTAAAGATATTACACTATCAACAAAGGTCAGCATAGTCAGAACTATGGTATTCCCAGTAGTAACATACGCATGTGAGAGCTGGACTATAAAGAAGGCTGAGCGTTATAGAATTGATGCCTTTGAACTGTGGTGTTGGCAAAAACTGCTTAGAATCCATTGGATTGCAAGAAGATCCAATAAATCCGTACTACAGGAAATTAAGACAAACTGTTCACTGGAAGCTATGATCTTGAGGCTGAAGCTCAAATATTTTGGCCATATAATGAGAAGGCAGGATTCTCTAGAGAAGACGCTGCTGCTGGGAAAGATTGAAGGCACACGAAGAAGGGGACGACAGAGATGGAGATGGATAGATGAGGTCACTGAAGCCACGAACATGAAGTTGTTGGAGCTCAGAGAGGCAGTGACTGACAGATGTACCTGGCTTGCTATGGCCCATATGGTCACAGAGAGTCGGACACGACTGAACAACTAAACAACAACAGGCTAAAATAAGATATTGTGAACTGTCAATGTAACAGTATTATTCCAGGTATGACTGAGATTATTTTGCCAGTCTCCATTTAATCTGAGCATATATTCCTAAATGTTTGAGAAAAATTACCAAATGTCTTGTCTGGTTTTCTTGGTCTCCAGCCTTGGGTCAGTATACCTGATATAGTACTAGTGGGTTTATGTATATGCACTCTACTTATATTTGATGTTAGTGTGTTACTTTTTATTGCACTTTATCTTTGATGAACTTATGACTGTATGTCATGTGAATAGAATCTATTTTTGGTATGAATTGGTGTGCTATGGATTCTTATATATAATTTCAAATATAAGGCCAGAAAAGCCAAACTAAAAAGTATATTTCAGCTATTTTGACCATAAATTTGAAATACACTTTAAATTATATGTAACTATTTTTATTTTTATGAAATGCTGTTTTTTTTTTCTGGTTACAGAGCCGCTTTAACCTAGGTTTGTGCTAGAGATCATGGAAGAAGGGTGGGTAATAATAATGGGTACATTAACTGCTGGCTTGTGACATACTTTAATCTTAATAGTATAAGCCTTTGGGCATTTTTTATTTTTATATGGTATGGAAAATTACAAGTGAATTATTTACCAGACTGCAATATCAAGGCATTACACAGAGTAATTCGGGCAAGCCAACATCATTTTTACTATAGTTTATTTTTAATAAATTGTTCACATTTTCAGTACTCCAAAGTACCTACCTTCACTGAATGTAACGCAAATGCAGCAGATGTCTTTCACTCTTTGAATATATTATAACTGGCACACTGCCCATAGTTTACATGATAACCCAGTCAGGTGTGGCTCTGTTAATTAATACATTTACTTGGTGATTTATTAAAAGAGGTAAACCACAGGCACATAACTAAAACAAAACATTTCCAGACAGCACTATATTCATACAGATACTGGCATTTTATAAAATCAGATCTTAGTTTTAAAAGCAGTCAGTTAAATAATTTCTGGATTTTTCAAAAAGCACAAAATAAGAAATCTGTCACAAAATTTAGAAAATATGCAAAACAATTACGTGTTACAGAGGTCTTTAAAAACATTCTTCGATCTCCATTGGAATTAAGGTTAACGTAAGGAAAGTGAGATTTCAGTCTTTAAAGTAGATTATAATCTATGTAAAGACTAAAAATATATATATATATATATTTCCAGTTGTGACACTTGATTTGTTAGTGGTGGATTTTGCAATACCCAGTGATTATAACATCAGGAAGAAGGAACATTAGAAGGTGGACAAATACAAAGGACTGAAAGAAGAGCTAGAAAGGATGTGGAAAGTGAGGGCATTAGTAGTCCCAGTTGTGATAGGAGTACTCGGGGCTGTGACTCCTGGACTGGCTTCAACAGATTCCAGGTGGGACATCTGAGATTGCTGTCCAGAAGAATGCAGTTCTAGGGACAGCTAAGATACTGCGCAGAACCCTCAAACTCCCAGGACTCTGGAAGAGGATCCGAGAATGAGGAATAAACATACCACCCAGGAGGGGTGAGAAAATCTATTTTTAATATATAATATATTCTTTAAAGACTGAAATCTTGCATATATATATATATATATATATATATATATATATATAATAATTTTTATTGGACTAACATAATATTTCAAAGGCAAGCTTTCAAGAGTTTTCCACTCTTCCTCAGGTCTGAAGGTATTTCATTTGTGTAATAGAGAGAGGGTGAACACAAGAAATAAAATAGATAATATATGTGTAAGAGCACAGGGCAGTGGTTACTTGAGAGCCATTTCTGTGGCTAGGTTATGCACGCCTTGTGTGATGCTTGATAGCTGTTCCCAAGCTTGCTTTTCAGAGGACTCATTCAGATCTTTTTGAAGCTGCAGGCTATTCATTTCATAGCACAAGCTGTCCACATGACTTTGCATGTGACGGATTTCATCATTTCTGGAAGCAATCTAGGAAGAAGAAAAAATATATATAATTTTTTAATTCAGTGAAATCTTTATGTATAAAGAGGTTGTAGGGTTGTGAAGGTTTTTCATAATTAAGCCAATTCAGCGTTAATAATAACCTCAAACACTAGATACTATTTTTTCATGTTATTATTTTTGTTTTTATAAATTATGTTTTATTTTTCTAGTGATACACTGTATTAGTGATCTACTGTATTATGGTAGTTGTCTCAGTGTGATCTTAGTCTAACTTCAGGTTTTAGATAAATCAAAGCAGATGATGGTGTTTAGATCAGATAACTATTTTGCTATAACTGATGGACTTTGCTAGGTTGCATACACATCATGTGCCATAAAGAGTAAGAAGTGTATGTGAAAGGAAGACATTGCCTATGTACCCATCTTAGAAACAGTCATGGAAATATATGTGTGACTCATCTAGTGACACTGGAGAAACAAGTGGTATTATCTCTGTAGCATATGTACTGCTTTCTCACCTTTCTGGAAACTGATATGAAGAAAAAGATGAGCTTTTTTGTACATACTGTATTCACTTGCTAACCTTCATTATTGTGAATGTATTACTTGCTTAGTAACCTTCATCTTTGTGAATGATGGTTCTTTAACCTTGGCCACTACAGAATTCTAACTATCCTACCAAATCCACACAGACACAGTAATAACTGATTTATTTCCAGATTCTCTTGGTGGGATATGCCTACATTAACCTGTAGAGGAAAGCGGAAAAATAACATAACAATAAAAGTAGACACTTCCTCTCCATATGGCCTTTGAGAAGCCTTGTGTGATCTAACAGAATGGTTGACTCTTCAGGAGTATTTGTATACAGGATGTCCCAGTCACTGCAGGATGTTGTGTCGAATTCTTCTCTGGTTTGAAGTGCATGTATCTGTGGCTTTGTCAATGCTGTTACTATCAGTATGAACTGACTGGGAAATAGTAATTATTAAAAAGGCTATTCCCTTATGTGATAAAAAGTTGAACATGCAAACAAAAAAAAAGCACTTTGGTAAAAACACCAGTTTTATTCATTACCTAGTTTTATAGGTAATGTATGATACAAGCACCACAAAATAATTCTCGATTCTCTTCATCAATTATGATAACACAACAAATACACTTGTACAAAATGTCTGATCTAAACACACTTGAAGAAACATAAATGCATATCAATATTGATTTGGAACACAACAAGTTAATGACACAAATGTCACCTATTATCACCACGGCAAAGTAAAAGGGATCAAAGATGTAGGTCAGATCTTTCCAAGATGGATCCATTTTGTCTCTCATTAATGATTTCAAAGTATTGATTTTGAGATTGTGTGACTAACAAAGATGAGTAAAGTTAAGCCCAGTTTTAAGTTCATAACGATTTCTGACTTTGCTGGCATTACAGAAATTAAAGGAATACTTTGGGCACTGACATAAATTAAGTGCATTTGATAATACTTATGCTCTGATTTTCTCCCTGATCAAATCTCTTAAGTTTTTCTTAAAAAAAGGAAAATGTTTTGCAACTTTTTTCATAATAACTACATTTTCTTAGCTGTGCCTCCCCTTTTCACATAACATCCTGCTGATTGGGAGGTAAGCAGTGTAGCTCAGCCAGTAAGCGATCAATGTGACGTTACTGTCACGTTCACTAGGGAACCCTAACACGCAGACAGGACAGAGTAGAGAGAATTGCAATACCAATCCTTAGAATGGTCGGATTATGCAAAAAGGGATAGTCAAAACATGAGCCGAGGTCAACGGAAACAGAGAGACGGAATAACGAGAGACAAAGCCAAATATCAGAAACCAGGAAATCCAAATAACAAGTGCAACGCTTAATGGTAAACCAAAGACCACAACAGGGCACTGAGGCAAGGGAGAGGTTAGCTTATACACACACAGGGAGTATCTGATTGGCTAATCTCCAATTAGTGTTAACCACAACACATGGGAGGAGTTTCTTCCCTCCCTTGTGGTCTCTGAGGTCATCACTGTGCGCCGGGTCACATGACCGGGTGCAGCACACATATAAGGAAGCTGCTCTGGAGCGTGCAGCATTAGACACACTGCCAGTCTGGAGACAGGGACCAGATGACGCCGCTCGCTGTGATGAGGTAAGCAGGGTCGCCGCGAGCGGCAGGGGACCTGACAGTTACTTTTCAAAACTAACGAGAAAGAGTACAAATATAATAAGAGGACATTGATTGGCTCTGGGGCTGAAGGTTCTCAGCGGCTCAGTTCACACAAACCTCACATTGGCTGAGCTAAGTAAGCACTCCGACTACATATAAAAAGCTATTTGCTTTATGACCATTGTTATCATGGCTAAAGGCACAGGGTTATGCTGCATACATAATACATTAACTACTCTTCACATGCTTTTGCTTCGCGTAGAGGAAATTAAATACAGCAATTTAGGAGAGATGTAGGGGAACAAAACTTGTGTTGGCTTGCTGACTGTAAAATAGTTAACATAAAGCTGACCTTGTGCACTGTGCAACTGCTCTTGCTGCTTCTCTCTACAGCGTGGCATGACCTCTTTTGGCTACATTCACTACATCCACCACTTTCTCTGTCCAGACTGCATACCTTCGGGATCTTCTGCCTACTAGTAAGAAGGGAAGGCGAGGAATGGACAACTTAATACTGGGTGTCAACGGGGAACTGTCCCCTGAAAGTGTAGCATTTGCGCCATCTCAGGGAGATGAAATAGTGAGGAGATCTTGTCCGAGAAGTCACCTCAGCTGGAAGTGGACATGGTAGTTACTGGTGAGAGGCATTATTCCCCTGTAGCCTGTTTTCTTGTATTCTGTAACAACTCAATAAAAATAAATATATAAACCCTCACAAAGCCTCTGCCTTCCCATGTCCATGGGGCTTTCTGGGATTCTGCTGGTGTTGGACTCATACACAAACACTGTTAGCTTGCAAATGATACAGAAACTCATCTGGTTGGCCAGATTTATAGCAGGACATGATATGGGGGGGAAGGAGGAGGGATTTGCAGATTTTCCCTGATTCAGCTCAAAAAATGAAATTCACAGGCCCTGCTGTGAATATTCTCATCACAATTATAAATAAGGCTCCCAACTTCCACGGGACTGAGTGCGTCCAGTAATGCAGTTGCCTCATCTCTGGTCCCTTTAAGAGCATTAGTGTTTTAATCCTTTATGCAGCTTCCATCTGTTCTCAGGACAGTGAGACATGATTTGGAATATCAGCTGAATCTAAAATGACTTGAGCTTTTTCTTACTTAAACTGTTGTTTTTTTAATATTGAGGAGATTATTATTGTTGAGAAAGACAGAAGTATAACAAGAAATATTATAGCACAATAACCACTACTGCATGTTGAAGTGATTATGGTACTAGCAGGCTGTTAGAAACAGTTTTCCAGTGAATTGACACAAACTGAGAGTCCCTCAGGTGGCTCAGCCCCCAGCTCACCATATTTCTCATATTCACATCATTCTCTAATGCAGCATTTCCCAATTGGGGTTCCGCTGTGATTCACCCAGTAGTGAGCAGCTCCCCCCACACACCAGCCTCAGCCAGCAAATCACCCTCCTGCAGACAACAGGTATGCTAACAGGAGGGTGACTGCAAAGATAAAAAAAAAATTGCATGTGTGTGTATTTGACAATGTGTGTGTGTGTGTATATCTGTGTGAAATCTTTGTGTCACTGTGTGTCATTGTTTGTGTCACTGTGTGTATCTAATGTGTGTATGTACCATTGTGTATCTGTGTGTATGTGTCACTGTGTATCAGAGTGTCACTGTGTGTATCTTTCATAGTGTGTGTGTGTGTATGTAGCAGTGCAGAGATACACATTGACACACAAATACACACACTGGCACATACAAAGACAGATACACACACCTTGATACACAGACACACTGGCACATACAAACACAGATACACATACTTTGACACACAGATACACACACTTTGACACACACACAGATACATACCGTGTGTCAAGGTGTGTGCACCTGTGTGTCAAGGTGTGTGTATCTGTGTGCCACTATGTGACAGTGTGTGTATCTGTGTGTCAAGGTGTGTGTATATGTGTGCCACTATGTGCCAGTGTGTGTGTATCTGTGTGTAAGATTCATACACACTCACACACAGATACACACACTGGCACATACAAACACAGATACACACACATACACACACACACACACACACACAGATACACAATGTGTGTCAAGATGTGTGTATCTGTGTGTCAATGTGTCTGTATCTGTGTGCCAGTGTGTGTGTGTGTGTGTATCTGTGTGTCAGATACATACACACACAAACACAGAGATACACATTGACACACAAATACACACACTGGCACATACAAAGACAGATACACACACCTTGACACACAGACACACACCGGCACATACAAAAAAAAAGTTTATGTAACAGCACAATTTATTTTTCTTTTACAGGGGGAGAAAGGGAGGCGCCAGGTTCCACGATGTTGTTACACTATGTCAAAGGGTTCCATGGGAAAAATTAATTGGGAACCCCTGCTCTAATGAGTATCTTATACATGTTACTTTGATCTAAACACATTTGGAGACACCCCACAAGAGTTAACATTTCCTCTAGGCATGTCTTCCTTGCACACTATATTTAGAGTGATGTTTACTGCATCCTAGTTATGAAGCCAATCAGAAAGGTGGATCCATTCATATTCTACCTTACTGTTTATGTTTTTGCTCATTAGACAAATTTGTACTGCGATGCTGTTTGATAATCTAGTCTGATGTGTAAAACTGTTACAGTGTGTTTGTCTGAACTGGTACGGAGTCCCAACACACAAATCTAGTTTGATAAATAGAAGGTATTACAAGTCTGTAGAACTGGCTGAGCTTAACATGAGGCAAGAACTAGAACAGCCAAAAGACCAAGGCCGAGGCCAAGGTCAATATGAAATGATACAGTCAGTAAGACAAGTCAAGGTCTGGATAAAAGAAATCAGAAAGTTCAGAGAAATCCCATGCTAGTAGCCAAAATTTAAAATCCCATGCTACTAGCTCAAAATTTCTATCCGAGTTACTAGCCAGGCTTGCTAGAATACATTCTCATGTTTCCTAGAGACCACAAAAGGGGACAAGGATCTGGGTGGAACGGGAATATATGGGAATTGGATGCCTTTGTAATTTAAGTTACTCCAAAATGTGAGTGGATGGCGTCGCTGGGATTATGCTGTGCCTGCATAATTTCTTAGTATTAAAGGACTGTGAGTGGAGCATTCCGCATGCCTCGTGATGGTTGAATGATGCCAGTTGGTCTCAGCAAAGACAGAGCTAAACACAGAGTAAAACCGGAGATCAAGTAGCTCATGTCCAAATTGAATAGGACACATGGCAGTGAGTGTGAGGCTGAAAATGGGATGCAGCAGGTATCCTGAAAGTGTGAAAATATAAACACATGTATAGATAACGAAGTGTCCCAGCTTAATAAAGAGATTTATAGAGTTTCTCTCAGTGGCGTCACCTGGAACTATATGTATAGTGAGCACAAAAGGTCAACAGTACATGTAGCAATATCAATTGACCATTCTGCCTATATTCTTTTGTGTCCCCATCCCAAATTTCTTCCCTACCCCTACTTTTCTCTACCTCCATTCCCCCCCCTTTAATTACCATTTCAATATAAACCCTTTCCCAAAATGTTTTCCTCTTAATGTCCCCTTTTTTGTGCCCTTTCCCATTTCCCCTTCATGTGTCCCACTCCATGTTCCCCCTTGCATCCCTCTCTCTAGATTTTTCTTTTCCCCACTTATCTCCCTTACCATGTTCCTCTTGCATCCTCATTTCCTTATCCTCTCTTTCCCCATTTGGATCCTCCTCCATGTCCCCATTTGTGGACCCTTGCCCCACTTATGTCCTCCTCCTCATATTCTTCGCAACTTCTACCTGAGTACAAATATTGCTAATTTTTTAGAATTTATATATATCATCTGTAACATAAGTTTACAGTAACAATTATTATTGTTAAATCAAATTAAGAAATATGACTTATCTGACTGCAATGCACAATAGAATGGTGGTCCTTTGTAGAGCGATTTTTGTTTGGATGGGCCTTCATATAGCGATGTTTGTTTGGATAGGCTTAACGGTATGTGGGTGGGGCCCATGCCCTCTTTTACTGTTGTTTCCCAACATCAATATGTTCATCAGCCAAGTAATTTAGATCCATACATCTTAGCATCATCCTTTAAAGGGTTACTCCAAGCATCATGAGCACTTCAGTGTTCAAGTGTGTTCATGGCACTTGAATCTGTATGTGCAGTATTTCAATATAAAACAATGCAATTATAGAGATGTGTTATATTACTGCCAGTAGTGTAACTCCACCTCTGGCAGCATCATTAGTACATCATTAGCCAATAAGGATTCTGGACAAGGTAATGTCAATTATGTGCATATTCCATGCACAGAGGGCCACTGATTGGCTGAAGCTCTCAGCCAATGAATGACCGGCGGTATCGGAATTTGGATTCTACTGCTCTGCAGAAGCTGGGAGCGTGTCACTCGGCCAAGAGGATGTTCAGGATGTAGGTAAAGGGGCAAACCATGGCAAAATGGCTTGCCACATTACTGAGGAATGGTGCCTGGGTAATACTGGCATCAAAACCGCTACACATATAGTCATTATAGTTAATGTCTACAGAATGTTTTTATTTTTTTCTTATAATATTATCATCAAGCACAAATAGTATTTTATATTATTTTTCATAGTGGTTTTGTCCCCAAATGCAAAAATATTATCCACATGCAATTTTAATTTCATCACACTTGAAGCTACAAGATTGAATATACACAGGGATAATTGGTGAAAATTATGTAGATATGATAATAAAGATTTATTGAAAATACAAACATAGATCTAAGACTGTAGTAGGATAAGGGGACAGAATGTATGTTGAGGTTGTGTTAAGCAGACCCCCTCCCCCATGTCAAAGCAGCTGCCCATGGATTAAAGAGAAAGGAAACCAGAAATTCAGGTTTGACAATCAAACCCTGAGGCTCCCTGCACTGACATCTGGTACCCAAATTTGAATAATACAATGTACAATATTGTCTACAAGTCTATCTGAAAATCATTGGTTAACATGATTCTTAAGAACATTCTAGCATTCAAACTAATATTGTGCGCTATACCATGATTTTGGCATAATATTATGCTTGATTTATTTATTTCACAATTTTTATATTCGACTTTACAGTGCTATAGCATATATATTTGTAAGCCTTATCATAACTATTCTAAATACTGGGGTCTATTCACTAATAAGAAACAATTAACAACAAAACGATACCCAAATTCACCAAAAAGAACTAAGAATTCTGAAATTTAATGGGCTTTTTCACATAAAGAACCCCTTCATTGCCAAGCACTTGAAAATACACTGCTTAGTAGTTGCCAACTGTCCCGTTTTTGCCGGGACAGTCCCAACAAGCTGGAGTCTGTCCTAGGCAATTAACTCTCTTGGGACAGTTCTGGCAACTTGCTGGGCCATGAGCTTTTATTATTTTCCCTCGGACTGTAACAGCTTGTTACAGTCCGAGGGAATTCAGGACAGAGCTGCTGGGAGATGCTGGGGGCTATAGAGAGGTGCTGGAAGCTGGAGAGAGATGCTGGGGGCTGATGGAGCACTGACAGTCTCCCTTCCAATTTCCCAGCAGCTTCCCTGGCAAACCGGCTCCTGCTCCACCTCACGCGAGCAGGTTCCACCCCCACGATGCAAGCCCCACCCATGAATGCAAGCCCCACCTCCTGCCCCAAGTCCGCCCCCACCGTTAAGCAGCAGACCTTGCTGCAGTTGGAAGAGGCCAGAAAATGGCTATCTGGATAGCAAGGTAAGCTTGATATACTCAGCCGTGTGTGTGTATGTGTGTGTGTGTGCGCCTGCTAGTGAGGAAGCTTGTGTACGTGTCAGTGAGCATGTCTTTAGTGAGCTTGTATGCGTGTGTCAGTCAGCTTATCTGTAGTGAGCTTGTGTGTGTCAGTGAGCTTGTTTGTAGTGAGCTTGTGTGTGTGTGTGTGTGTGTCAGTTCCCAGGCAAACAGAGGAGACCTGCTTTCTTGCTGTGGGCCCTCTTGGGCCGGTGAGAAGATCAAATATTGCTCCCTCTTTAGTGACAGGGAGGGGTGCAGTGGATCTAGGACCTGGGAGGCAGAAAGCTCCTCCCGCGAGCATGCTGTGCGCAGCGTTGCCACGTGTTACCACGGCAATGCTCGGACACAGCATGCTGCACATTAGAGGAGTATAGACTGCTATAGATAACTCACCACCACTAGACCACCATGGCACAGCACACCTCACACACACATCAACCCTGACAAAAGGCATCCCTCACACACACAGGACCCTCGCACACACACAGCACCTCTGACACACATACACAGCACACCTCACACACATACACAGCACTCCTGACACAAAGCACCTCTCACACACACACAGCACCCCTCACACACAGCACCTCTGACACACACACACACACACACACAGCAACCCTCACACACACTCAGTACCCCTGACACAAAGCATTCCTCATGCACAGCAACCCTTCACACACAGCACCCCTCACACATACACACATCACCCCTCACACACTCAGCACCCCTGACACAAAGCACCCCCTCACACGCATAGCACCCGTCACATACTGCACCCCTCACACACACACACACACACACTTCACCTCTCACACACACTCAGCACCCCTAATACACACAGCACCCGACACAAAGAACCCCTCACAAACCCACACACATAGCACCCATCTCACACTGCACCCCTCAAACATCCAGCACCCTTCACACACTGCACCCCTCACACACACACATACTTCACACACTGCACCCCTCTCACACACCCACACACACACTTAACCCCTCACATATAAACACAGCACCCCTACACACAAACACTACACCCCTCACTGCAGTCTGTGTGTACTCAGTAGTCTGGGTGTATTCAGCAGTCTGTGTGTGTATTCAGCCGTCTGTATGTATTCAGCAGTGTGTGTGTTTGTGTGTGTGTGTATAGCAGCCTGTGTTTATTCAGCAGTCTGTGTGCATTCAGCAGTTTATCTGTGTGTGTTCAGCAGTGTGTGTGTGTATTCAGCATTTTGTATGTATTCAGCAGTCTGTATGTGTGTATTCAGCAGTATGTTTATGTGATCAGTATTCTGTGTGTATTCAGCAGTCTGTGTGTGTGTGTGTGTGTGTTCAGCAGTCTATGTGTGTGTTTTTGTGTGTGTATTCAATGCACTGTTTGTATGTACTCGGCATTCTGTCTGTGTGTACTCAGTTTGTTTGTGTGTACTCAGCAGTCTCTGTGTTTGAATTCAGCAGTTTGTGTGTCTATTCAGCAGTCTGAGTGTGTATATTCAGCAGTATGTTAGTTACATAGTTACATAGCTGAAAAGAGACTTGCATTCATCAAGTTCAGCCTTCCTCACATATGTTTTTGCTGTTGATCCAAAAGAAGGCAAAAAACCTAGTCTGAAGTGCTTCCAATTTTGTAACACACTGAAAAAATTCCTTCTTGACCCCAAAATAACAGTCAGATGTCTCCTTAGATCAAGCAGCTATAATTACCCCACTAATTAGAAATTATATCCCTGTATGTTATGTTTTTGCAAGTATTTATCCAATTCCGGTTTAAACATCTGTATAGACTCTGACAAAACCACCTCTTCAGGCAGAGAATTCCATATCCTTATTGCTCTTACTGTAAAAAAAACCTTTTCTTTGCCTTAGATGAAATTTCCTTTCTTCCAGCCTAAATGTGTGACCTCGTGTCCTATGTATAGCCCTGTTTATGAATAGATTTCCAGGTAAAGGTTTGTACTGGCCCAGAATATATTTGTATAATGTTATCATATCCCCTCTCAGGCGCCGTTTTTCCAAACTAAACAGATTAAAATTTTTTAACCTTTCTTCGTAACTAAAATGCTCCATTCCTTTTATCAATTTTGTAGCTCGTCTCTGCACTTTTTCTATTGCCATGATATCCTTCTTTGGAACAGGTGCCCAAAATTGCACAGCATATTCAAGGTGTGGTCTTACCAGCGATTTATAAAGAGGCAAAATAATATTTTCATCCTGAAAATTTATGCCCCTATTTATACATGGCAAAACCTTACTGGCCTTAGCAACTGCAGATTGACATTGCATATTGCTGCCTAATTTGTTGTCTATAACAATTCCCAAATCCTTCTTGTGTGTGGTAATCCCTAGTTCACTACTAGTTTAGGGTGTAAATTGCTTGTGCATTCTTAACCCCGAAGTGCATAACTTTGCATTTCTCTGCGTTAAATTTCATCTGCCATTTTAGTGCCCAGTCCCCCAATCTATCCAATCCCTCTGCAGCAAAGCAATATCCTGCTCACATTTTATTACTTTATAAAGTTTTGTGTCATCTGCAAACACTGATACATGGCTTTCAATGCCTATTTCAAGATCATTTATAAATATGTTAAATAGAAGCGTGAGCTATATGTTTGTTGTGTGTGTATTCAGTGTACTGTGTGTATGTACTCTGCAGTCTGTCTGTGTGTACTCAGCAGTCTGTCTGTGTGTGTACTCAGCAGTCTGTGTGTGTGTATGTACTCAGCAGTCTGTGTGTGTGTATGGACTCAGCAGTCTGTGTGTGTGTACTTAGCAGTCTGTGTGTGCGTGTATTCAGCAGTCGGTGTGTGCGTGTATTCAGCAGTCTGTATGTGTTCAGCAGTCTGTGTGTATGTATGTATTGCATTTGTTGGAGGAACCAATAAATAGAAGCTTAATTTTTATTGATTATTTAATTGTTATTCCTGTGAGTTGTTGTGTTGGAAGGGCCACAGTGCACTGCTTTTTCTCTAGGGGCCCATAACGCTGTTAAGATGGCACTGCTTGTGTGTGTCAGTGAGCTTGTCTGTAGTGAGCTTTTGTGTGTTAGTTTGTCTGTAGTGAGCCTTGTGTATCAGTAAGCTTGTATTTAGTGAGCTTGTTGTGTCAGTGAGCTTGGCTGTAGTAAGCTTGTGTGTGTCAGTGAGCTTATCTGTAGTGAGCCTTGTGTGTCTATACAAATGAGTTTGTCTGTAGTAAGCTTGTGTGTGAATCAGAGTTTTGTCTGTCAGTGAGCCTATATGTGTGTATTAATGAGTTTGTGTTTTGTGTCAGTAAACTTGTCTGTCTTTGAGCCTGTGTATCAGTGAGCTTGTGTGCTTACTGTATACCTGTATATTGTATCAGTAAAAAGAGAATTGCAGGGAATTAAAATGGGAATTTCAAACTTTGGCTGAAATAGTGCAGCTGAATGAGATAATTTTTTCCAACTTGGCTACTTTGGCCTTAAGTTTAAAATTACCATCTCAATTCCCTGTAATTCTCTCTTTATTGAGTAGACCCGGTAACGTGCACTATAAGTAGGCAGAGATTAATTATGTGGGTTGGACATAGTGGGCGGAGCTGTGCGGCAGTGGGTGTGGTACATTTTCAAGGTACGGTAGTAATTGATAGCTGTGCTGCAAAGTGTCCCTGGAATTTTTTAAAAAATGTTGGTAACTATATATAACCTCATTCTTTCACCAGCTGTAATTCACATTGGAACGCCATATCAAGCACTACATGCTGTGCAAGGAATGTCCTGCTCTTAGCTTTCTTCAGTGTTTAACATTGTAACAGGCAGCAAGTTAAACTTGCAGGCTATGGCAGCAAGCAGTAAGTTAAACTAAAGCCAAGTAGTATACCTGCTTGTGCAGCTGAGCTATATGTTTCACCAAATTAGCCTTGTCCATGCGCAGCTGGGAGTTTTCCAGTTTCACTCTCAAGTGCTCATTTTCTAAATCTGTCAGCTGGCTCCGAAGGGAACTTCCATTCAGCTCCACAGACTTCCTTCCTTGTTGTACATGCAGCATCTATTGATAGAGTAATCACATTAAACTTCCATTCACTGGCTTTGGCAAAGTGCACTTCAATTCCCTCCAGTGCCGTAAAGGGGCAGAATAGTGGCGCTAAATCATTTATAACAATGAGGGAGTTAATTGTAAATTCATTTCCAGCGTAAATCAGCATATGCATGTTTCATTAAACATAATTATGCTAATTATTTCAACTATTACACTCTGTGTTATGCATACATAGTGTGAAATACAAAACTAAGCAGAGCGAGCAGACAGGTGGTATAGAGCTAGACTGTGGATTAAATCGGTCTTAAAGGGACACTACTCACACCTAAATGTTTGATGGAATGTTTGTAATAAGTTACAGTTAGTTATGCAGGGTGATTTAAAAAAAAAAAAAGATTCTTATAAGAAATAATACATAGTTTTGCAATATAAGCCTAGCTTTTCTTTCCCTCCCTTCCAAACTGTACCATTCTCTTTTTTTCTCCTGTAATAGTTGTACGTTGTGTAATCATTTAAAGGACCACTATAGTGCCAGGAAAAACAAACTCGTTTCCCTGGCACTATAGGGTCTTTAGGTCCCCCCTACTGTCAGGGTCCCACTCCTGCTGGGCTGAAGGGGTTAAATTACTTACTTTTCTCCAGCGCCGGGCTCCCTTGGCGCTGGGGAACTCTCCTCCTCCTGACGACGTCAGTGCTTTCCCATGGACATCCAGCGTCTTCTCACTGTGATTTTCACAGTGAGAAGTGTGGAAGTGCCCCTAGCGGCTATCATTGAGACAGCCACTAGAGGCTGGATTAACCCTAGTATAAACAAAGCAGGGTAAACACTAGAGGGACCTGGCACCCAGACCACTTAATTGAGCTGAAGTGGTCTGGGTGCCTATATTGGTGCTTTAAAGAGAAACTGTTACATGTTCTAAGTGATTTAAAAAAAATTTATTCAATGTTGGGAATTTCAGAGACGTGACATTCTCATTTAGATTTATGACAGTTGTATCTCAACTGTTTTCTGAAGGAGAAAGCTGATAACTCAGCTACAACTAGGATTTGCAGTAAATGCAGGAGCTTCAGATGTGAATACTGTTTTCATTATCTGCATAATAACATTTTAAGAATAATTTTAATTATTATATTATTTATATAACACCAGCAAATTCCGTAGCGCTGTACATAATAGTTTGTCTCATGCAGGATTGGATTTTGGTCAAATGAGCAGAGTTCCTGCTGCCATAATCTCCCATCAAATGTTGTGAGCGATAGATGCCAGATCTGTGCAATCTTTTCAAATAGTTTTTATTAGCTATTTAACATTATAATACAATAAAAATAACAATCATTAACATGAACAATAATAAAAAAATGGAGAGGGGAAGCTTGGGTGGAGTATGTAAGATAAATACCCCTAATAGAAAAATTATCAAATATACAAAAAATTATATTTATATTGAAAAGTATTAAAAAAAAACAAAGTGAAATTTAAAAAAAAAAATCCAAACGGTAACCGCTAATAGAACGGATGTAAAAGTACCTGACCTCGGGGGACCCCCCCCCAAAAAACCGAGGTGACGATCCAGATGATTCACAATAGAAAATAGAAACAGCAGCTCTAAGATCCAAATCTGGTGATAAAACATTTACAATATCGATAGGTCTATAGTTATTGATGTTAATAAAACAATTAACAGGAACTACTATATACAATTATAATATATTTATGTAAAACGAATAAAATTAGTTTGTAAAACAAATAATTCATGAGATCTGTAAGATCCTGTGTTCTCATGGAGTCGTCCAAAAACTCCTGTATTGCATGCTTATTTATGAATAGATGAAGCTCTAAGAGTGGCAGAATCATGGCAGCAATGAAGATGGCAAGGAGACACCAAAGTCCAGAAGACACAGCAATACCACTTTAAGCCATAGCAAGGTTTGTTTTTGTAAATGCACTAAATATACATGCGGAGTCATTACCTTGGTAAGCCATTTGTTGTGCTAGTTCCTACTATGCCTCTTCAAATAATCCCATTTCCCTATACAATGAGTATAATTGGTTCTCTATAGCCATCTATAAATCTTTGTGTAAACCAAATCCTTCCATGTACACAAGACGAGAATGTGTTTTATTGAGGTTTCCTTTTAGCTCCTAAACTGTCTGTATGTACTTCAATGACCTCTCCTGATGAATCCATGAATCCATTATCCTGATTTACTTTAAAAACGTTGACTTTATTCAAGAGTCCAGCACCATTACAGAACCACTGATAATAATAAATCATGATTTTAGATTGATGGATCAGCAATTTAACCTTTTTTAGTTCCAGATCTTTAGAGCCGTCATTGGCTGGGGCTTCCTTCCCTGCTAACACTGTCCCCGATAATCCCAAATCTATGCACACCCAATTGGAAAACATGGCACCATTACAGTGATTATTTAAATGGCCTTCAACATTCTAAACACTGTTTTGAATAATACTCTGCCTATCTACTTGGCATTCCATGTACATGACCCGGCTTACTTGACTGTCTTTGGTATTCTCTCCTACTGGTTTTGACACCCCTCTCCTGCTACACCTGATCTGCATGGTTATAAATGGTGTAGTTGTTAATGGCCATCTAATGCTGCTGTGTTCTTATGAATCCTGTACTGTTTACTACATCTTAATTCAGTTATGCTTTCAAAGTAACATAAGAGTGTGGCAGCAGTCTTTGCTGTACGGATGCACAAACTTGAGAAAGTCCTGTGAACATGACGAAGCGGGCATAGACGCAGTGCCTTTCTACTCTCTGTTATCTATTTGTATTGATTGTCTGGCGTGCTGATATCCATCAAGTATATCTATGGTTTGCTGCCTTCATTGAGATCCTGTGTGTTCTACCATTCATCAACAAGTGAGGCAGATTTTTTTACCACCAGATTTTGATCTTAGAGCTGCTGTTTCTATTTTTGAATCATCTTGATCGTCACCTCGGTTTTTTGGGGGCCCCCACGCGAGGTCAGGTACTTTTACATCTGTTCTATCAGTGGTTACCGTTTGGATTTTTATATACTTTTCAATATAAATATAATTTTTTGTATATTTGATAATTTTTCTATTAGGGGTATTTATCTCACATTACCTACAGTTTTTATACAATTTACATGCAATGCTATAAAAGGATTTCTCAGCAAGGTTTGCATCATTTAGTTTCTCAACCCCCTTTGTCTTCACATCTACTTTCCCTTTGGGCTGCAACATGCTGCTTCTGTATTCATTGAAACTGTTGTAGTTTTAGTATATGTTATGAACCAATGCTAGACTTGGATACATTGTTTAGTGTGTTATATGTCCCACCTAAGAGTTATTTAATATATCTTGGGTAATTTTTCATTGTTTTAGCTGGTATTTTTTTATTAAAGGTATATATCTTTTATAGGAACGTTTGTTTCCTCTAATTACTTGCGGAGCGCACATGCTATGTATTTTGTTATTTTTTTATAGATGCACAAGCCTATTGGTGCAACCACAAAAAAAGGACAAGGTTTCATTCCCCACTTTCGTGATTTAGTTATATTGTATCAGTCCATGTCTGCCAGTAACACCTAATCCTCTTTATTTTCTTCATTGTCTTTCTTTCAGGTGGACAACTATGTAAATTAAATTGCTTTGCTGACAAACCAAAGCAAACCAACAACTCTATCAAGATTCCTATTAACTCTTGCAATAAAGATACAGCTCTTTAAATCACTACATACAGTATTTGTAACACTTCTCAGGTTATTACGCTTTCATACCCATACTATACTCCTCTATGTATACTTTCTCTAGCTGCTAACACCATTATGTCTCCTAACCATTACTTTGTATCCTTAATCATAGTTCTCACTTCACCCCATATCAACACAAGAATGCTAAGGTAATTTTTGGTAGGTATTGCAATATATTATCTATACTTCGCCACAGATGAATGTAGATAGATGTATTGTGTGGATTAAAACCTAAACAATGTAGGCCAAAAGCATTTGGAGAGTGAAGCAAGTTTTGTTTTTGGTTCCGTACTGATAATGAAATGAAAAAGACAATACTATGCAGACTGCTAACCTTACTGGTAGGTATTCATCTCCAGACAAGAACATATCAAAAGTGATTGAGCACTTAATCACTCTTCTGTTTCATAGCTTGTTGCATTTTTAATTCATGCAAAAGAATGTTGAACAATAGATGCAGAGGTCAAAGGCTAGGTATTTGTTTTTGCTGACGTGTACTGGAATTTGGCAATGAACAAGCCTCAAGCCGTTTACCATCTATTTAGACTTCAGGGCCCAGCAGGAGGTCATCCAATCCCAAGGAGTATGGATAGTTTCCTTGTGCTAGCTCAATAATCCTTGCTTTTACTCCTTGGCTTCTAACACAGAGGCATACCAAGGTTACTAGGCACCTGGTGGCAGAAGTTTATTCTCTTTTCAGAGAAAATGCAGTGTTAACATTACACCTTAGGGCCAGGGGCATCTCTTGGTGAGGGGGGGGGGGGGCATGGCCCCCCCTACTTCATGCAGTGCCCCCCAATTGAAATTGAAGTCGGGAGCACTGAGGCTCCCTTCACAAGCTGCAGCAGCACCGTCACTGTGTTGCACCCTTTTCCCACGTGCAGCCAGAAGGGGCACTGTGCAGGGGAGAGGCGGAGAAGAAGCTGGCAGCTGCAGGTAAGTGCACATTTTATAACTGCCCCCTATTTTTGTCCCTGGCCCCTTATGTCCCCCCCCAAGTATGAACCCTGGAGACGCCCAAGAAAGAGCGCAGGTAACTTTTTTTTCCTTTGGTTTTTACTGTATGTATTGGGGCTGATGTGTACTATGGTCGTTGCTGCCGCCCAAGAGTAGTTGAGCAGACTAAATGGTTTAGAACTTCTCTGCCAATCTACTCTGCCTTAAACAATTGTTTGTAACTTATCCCTGTGAACACAACAGAATTGGGGCCAACACTGCTGTGAAGGGACAGTAAGCCTCATGGCAAGTGTGGGTGAGTTAACATCATATTGTCAACATGAGACTGAAGGCAATGTTGACAATATGATGTTAACTCACCCATGTAAAATAAAGCTAATCACATATAACTATGATAAAGGTCACTTAATGACACATAGGTTATGGCCTTTCATTAAGCGCTCTCTTTAGGAAAGAAAGAATGCAACTTAAAAAGATATTTTTTGGCTCAAGTTAAAGGAACACTGCACATTAGGAATACAAATGCCTGTTTTCAGGCCTAGTTGACAGACCTAGCTCTCAAAGGTTAAAAAAGCATTTTACTTACCTTATATCCCACGCTGCACAGCCCTTTCTGCGGCTTGCCCCCCCACCCCAATCTTGATAAGCTCCAATAGGAAAGCATTCAGAAACTAGTGTGCATGCGTAGCAAAACACTGATCTGTGAAAATCAGATGGCCTCTATGAGTTTTACTCTAATATTTCTGAGGAAGTGCTTCTAGTGGCTGTCAGTATGGCATTTAAGCCCTACAATATGTATGCCAATGGTTTACATTATAGGGTTAAAACAAGAGGTACTTGGTTCCTTGAGAAGAAGTGGTCTGGGTACCTAAAGTGTACCTTTAACCCATTCTTTTTAAATACATTGAAATATATTCAAAAAGAGACATTGTCATCAACAGAAACACTATGGCTAGCTGAAGTGGTATTGTTGCCTAAGTGTCCTAGCACCCTTCCTCAGTTTAATGGCAAAAGGGTTAGGAATGGTTTTACATAATCTGCACTCTTTCCTTTGCCTGGAGACCTTCCCCTCCCTGACTACATTAATAATGTAGAAATTACACTTAACAATGGCTTTTGTCCAACCTGGACAGTGGCTATTGGCAGAGAGTGTAAGCCCAGCACTCTCAGCCTGTCAATGCATCCAGGTTGAAATAAATGTAAATATTAATGTGGAAGTGTACATTCCACATTCTCAATGCAGACATTTCAAAGCAATGTGACACTGAACCAGGAATGGTGCCAGGGCACTATAGGCACTGTAACATTGTGTGTTGTGGTGATTCTGCTGCTTCGATTGCCCCTTTTTTAAATAATGCAGAAAAGGATACTTACATTTGTAGTCCCAGTGTTTGCTGCAAATTCCCAGGATCTGCTGCTTCTGCATTGAGTACTGGGCAGACCAGAAAGTGACTCCACCAACCATGATGATCTCTTAACTTCCTATAGGACTGCCTAGCCTCTTTTTATGAGAATATGGGAGTTGTAAATTGTCACTTTTATACTAAAAAATCCAACAGACAAACTGCAACTCAGAGAAATCTAAGTTATAGCAACATGTAGAGAAATACGTTTGGAGCTAAAAGGGGCACACTGCAGGTTAGAAGGAGGGAAAGGAAGGAAGAGATTATGGAACAAAATTACAGTGAGAATTGTTGGGAATTCCAAGTGAATTTCAAATTGAAGGCAGCCAGTGCATCCAGTTCATCTATTGACGTCTAAAACCTTAAATTGTCTTTGAATTTCTGACAATTCTAACTCCAGTAAATAACTCTGTAATTCTTATTATGACAGGGAAAAAAGACAACAAAGCGACCACCCAGCATAACTAATTTATTTCCCATTTCAGCTGATAAATGTGAGTCCTTGTGGGACTTTTCATGCTGTCTGTGTGTCAGTCTACTTGCTTATTTATGAAGGCAGCTAAATTGTTACATTTCCTTTAGCCCCTGTGGATAATTTGCAGACTCAACAGACAACAGTTTGAGAGATTGCCCTTCCGGGAAAGTAAACACAAAATCATTACTATCCTATGAAGTTTTATACATTGATTAACTCAATCTTCAGATATTTTGTTCTTTTAAGCTTTATCCTTGGATCAACTCAGTCTGTGGATGTTTAATGACATTTTGGGTTTATTAACTAAACCCCAATTTTTGGCTAATTGACATGTAAAGGCTAAATTAGGCAAAAAATAACTATCTTTTTTGGTTATAGTCACAGCTACATTTTTGATTTTAATGTTCTACAGTTGATATATTTTATGAATAAATCTCTAAGATTATATTGATCTTTTCTTTTTTTGACACGACCCAAAGTTACTTCCACTGAACATTTGAGCTGATTATGTGCCAGAGAGGTTAGCAAGGCTTCTCATCTTCCTACCTGCTCCTGTGCAGTGAACACTTTGTCCTTTTCGTCCTGTACAAGTCTTTTCAGGTGTGACAGGGTCCGCTCAAGCTCTCTTTCTTTTTCTTTCCCCAGTGTTATCTCAGAAATCCTTTTTGTGTTTTTCATTCTCTCATTTTCCCTGAGCTGCTGCTCCTACAAGATTAAAAATATACACACTTTATATATTCAAAGGATTGAAAACTTTATAGATTGCGGTATCGGAAACACACATATGCTTTGGCACAAAAGAGCACGTACCTTACATTCGGAACTAACCTAATGCTGTGTTTAACCAGAAGAAACTGCTTAAATGAGCACGTTTAATGAATTTACTGCTAAAGAAACACTTTAGCATTCGGAATACAAATGTGTATTCCTAACGCTATAGTGTCCAAGTCCCTAGTAGGAATTAGGGTCATCTCTTTTGCCAATGCCGGGACTCTCTTATTGCTGCCACTCTCACCTCCTCTCACTTAGTGTTGCTTGCTGTCATCTCCAATGAATCCAATGCTTTCCTATGAGCTACAATGGATGATGTTCAACTTCCTCAGGGATGTCAAACGTCACATTTATTTATTTATTACTGGCATTTATAAAGCGCCAACATATTCAGCAAGACAGCCACTAGAGGCTTCAATCAAAACACTTCTGTATATACTAAATGGCAATGTTTTAGATTGCAGGGTTAAAATTAAAGGGCCTCTCACCCAGACCACTTCATTGAAATGCAATAACGGAAGTGTAAACATTAGATGACTCTTTACAGGAAGTGTTTAGGAAGCCTGTGCATGTCATATGCAGTGAGGTATGACTAGGGCTGGATAAAAAAAAAAAATGTTTTAACTCCTTAAGGGCAGTAAATTGAGCAGTGAGACTGCAAGGACATTGTCTACACACGACAGCTGCTTTATTCAATTAAAGTTGTTTTGGTGACTATAGTGTCCCTTTAAGACAAAACCTGTATGGGATTTACATACACACAGGGCCGGCGCGTCCTATAGGCCAATTAGGCGGCTGACTACAGTGCTACTTAAGGAGGGGGCACCAGCGGCAGCTTTACTGATGGTTTAGGCTGCCCCTCTATATAGGTAAAATTGTGTTTGGTGTGCTGCTAGTGATGGCATGGGGCTCTAGGGAGCACTTACATGGCTTCAGACTAGCGCCCGGTGCCATCATCCTCAGCCAGCAAGGATCACAGAGCTGACCCCCCTACACACCTCCAATGTCGCAGCACACTGGCGCATCATACGATTGGCGTCAAGTGGGAGTACAGCAGAATGAAGGCAGCCAGGCCTGAACTAGGACCCTCGGAGAGACCATAATAAATAAAGACAAGTGGGGGACTTCATGGTGTGTGTGTCAGCCTGTTTCAGTCAGTGTGTGTGTGCTTGGATCAGTGTGTGTGTATGTTTGGATCAGTGTGTGTGTGTGTGTGTGTGTGTTAGCCTGTTTCAGTCACTGTGTGTGTGTATGCTTGGATCAGTGTGTATGTGTGTCTGTGTCAGCCAGTTTCAGTTAGTGTGTGTGTGTGTGTGTGTGTGTGCTTGGGTCAGTGTGTGTGTCTGCTTGGACCAGTGTGTGTGTCTGCTTGGATCAGTGTGTGTATCTGCTTGAGTCAGTATGTGTGTGTATGTGCTTGGGTCAGTGTGTGTGTCTAGATCAGAGTGTGTGTCTGTGTGTCTGCTTGGGTCAGTGTGTGTGTGTGTAAGCATGCTTGGGTCAGTGTGTGTATCTGTTTGGGTCTGTGTGTGTGTCGTTTTGGTAAAGTGTGTGTGTTTGCTTGGGTTTGTGTGTGTCTGCTTAGGTCTGTGTGTGTGTATGCTTGGGCCAGTGTATGTGTGTGTATGTCAGTCTACACAAGTTAGTTTATGTCTGCTTGAGTCAGTGTGTATGTGTCACTCTGGGTGAGTCAATGAATTTGTGTGTGCATTGGTTACTGATTGTAATTGTGTGGACCATTGTGTGTGTGTGAATGAGTGAATGCGTGCGAGTGTTTGTGTGTGTGTGTATATGTATGTGTGCATCTACCAGTGATCGCATTTGGGCAAAAAGGATAATTTTAATTTTAAAAATCAATACATTTAAAGGAACACTATAATGTTAGGAATCTAAACCTGTATTCAGAATACTATAGTGTCTCTGTCCCTACATAGATTCAAATTCCCCCCCACCATAAAAAAAAAAAAAGGTTGGGGGCTTGCTTACATTTCTCAAGCACCAAGACTCCCTCTGCACTGCTTACCTCCTTACCCTCTGCACTGCTCACCTCCTTACCCTCTGCACTGCTTACCTGGAATGGGGAAACATCAAACATTGCATACCCTGGCTTTGATATATCTAATACCCCTTTAGAACCCCTTCACCCATGGTATAGAAACCAGGTATAGCATGCACCCGCTTTCATCTATATTTTTATGTTTTTTTTCTTAAATTTTATTTATTGCAAGATTTGCAGCCTTTTCAGTGTTGTGAGTTAACTTAGGACACTAAAATATATAATTTAGATAGGGCGTATCTAAATAGAAGTTGGGTTTTTCCGGTATCCACGCTTCATCTCAAGTTTTATATAGTGCTAGGGCGCTCATTAAGTTTTAAGCGGTGTTCTAGCTAAATAGGACATGCTGCAGTGTTAAAGAGAGTAACTTTACTTGGCTTTTACAGTGATTTTTATATTTTATCGGGTGAGGTTTCTTTAATTACTCTGTTTACAAATGTAGGGTTAGTTTGTCCTATGCTATCAAAATTCCATGGATAGGGAACCAACAATTTAATTACAAATATAATAAATAAAATATTTTCCTTTGATTAATATTTTACACATATTTACTTTCACCCCTCTCAAGCGATCATTAAGTGCAACTAATCACAACATATGCCAGTCAGACAGTCTTTAACAATAGCCCATTGTTTTTTAGCCTCTTCATTGTCACTTGGAGACAGACGACTTGAGTCTTATGTTAAGAGAAGTCACTTGAAATAGTCCAAGTATCTGTGGAGGACAATCTGTGAGGCGGAGTTACTAAGCATTTGTATAGCTAATCTTGATTACTAGCAATAGTCAAGCCAGCTATATAAATTATGGGCATGGGAACATGAACCACGAATTGTTAAGGTGTAGATACATAAAAAAACAACAATCCATTGTGTTGCATTGTGGGGTGTGTTGCTGTTGTCTTCAAGGCTGTTGGTTCACATAAATGAGATTTAAAAAAAAATAAAATGTATTATTAATTAGAAGAAAGTGGTTGCATCTCAAATATTGCATTTTGTTTTTCACTCCAATTCTATTAACAACTAATACTGAATGTAATATAATGCTACTTTTTGCTATTATATTATGCCAAATGATTCCTATTTTGATTGATTGTTTTTTGATCTGTGTATTTAAAGTTCACCTGTTATAACTGACATTATTAAGAATTATGTTAAAAAATGTGAAAAATAATATATTGTATTTAAAGGGACACAATAGTCACCAAAACAATTTTAGCTTAATGAAGTAATTATAGTTTATAGATTATGCCTCTGAAGTTTCACTGCCAAATTCACTGTCATTTAAGAGTTAAATCAGTTTTGTTTCTGTTTTTATCTCCTGCTTTGTAAATTGGACTTTAATTGCATACAGGAGGTTCCTGCAAGGTCTAACAAGCTATTAACAGAGCAGGAGATAAGAAATTCTAAATCAAACAGAATCTACAATAAAGGAAGTGTAAACATTGGATGACTCTTTACAGGAAGTGTTTAGGAAGGCTGTGCAAGTCATGTGCAGGGAGGTATGACCAGGTCTGTGTAAAAAAAGTGATTAAACTCATTAATGGCAGATAATTGAGCAGTGAGACTGCAGGGGCATAATCTGTACACCAAAACTGCTTCATTATGCTAAGGTTATTTTGGTGACTAGAGTGTCCCTTTAAATCTATTATGTGTTTCTTAAAAAGGGTAAAAATCAAACATGGCTGACAAAATGGCCATATTTTTGGGGGCGGGGCCGGACTGCCGTGATAAGCAGTCGCATGTAACATGGGCTCCTCACCTAACTCACCCTAAATCATGCCAAAGTCTTGTTCCTGCTGTACAAACGACTTTTGATGATACCCGACAATGTCTAGGACCCCCTGGGCACTGGCTAGGGCGATTTGGCGAGGACCCGGCAGCGGAGCTCTGACCCTGCGACTCAAGGCCTAGCATGGTCCTGTCTGGGAGTGAAGGTCCGGGCTGGAAGCCCTTTTCGAATGCTTCTGGGACAAGTTGCAACGCAGGCTTCCCACAGGTGCTCCTCAAACACCCCCAACATGCTTACTCAAAAAACCAAGCCTGCACCCTCGGGTCCAACGGTTGGCCGTGGAACCTCCAACAGTTCGCCCACAGCGGCAGAGACCGCGCTGGCTCCATGCAAGGAGGGCAGCTACCAAGCCCACTCTAAAGACAAAGAGCCCTCGAGGCGCACAGCGGGCAGAGCGGAGGAGAGGCACACGAAAGAGGAACCGCTTGAATTACCTCCCCCCTAGAAACCGCCAGCTAGAGCGATCAAAGCTGACTGAGGGGAGGCCCCCACTATAGCGACCATTCAGGCGGTGCAGTACAGCGACAGGCAAACTAACGCAGAGGCATTTGCTGACACTAGACAAAACTGGATCCCCTGTGACCACTCGGCATTACTGGCCTCCACATGTGCTAAAGGCCCTAGCCCCACAAGATGGCGGATCTTTGTGCAGGAGCACCACGAGGCACCCAGACACAGTACAGCCTCATGCTCTTACGAAAGGTACATACCTGCATGAAACATGCCCACTGCAGAGCGACCAACGACCTCCCAATAGACTGGGCACTGGACGAAGGGGTACGAAGACCCGGACTGCTTTCGGGCACGTTCCAGTGATGGCGCTGGCACAGACGACATTGCAGACCCTGTTTAACCTGGTGGACACCTGTTATGATCCTGCTTATATAGACTTAAGTTTCTGTATTCTTTTTTGACCGTTGCATGCCTCTACTTTACTTTAGCCTATGGGTCTGACACATAGACACATTCTCTCCCCAACAACCAGAGCAGCAAATATCTGAGTTTTACATGCCATGCACCAAGTCTTGAGTAATATGTTTTTATTATATTTTACATTCTTTTCTGTTAACTCTCCATACTCTGACTAATATCACAGTAGTACATCTTCCTACTGACACCACACCCAGGGGCGCCCTAACAGCGTTCTTCATAGCTTGTCTACCTAATGTACCATCTCCTATATTACCATGTCTACCTAGACACACAGATTATCAATATATAATGAACGTATCTGGTACAGTCCACTGTAATAGCTACTACTGTGATTCTCTGATGTTTACTCTTGTAGTTAGATATGATTGACTAGCTTGCTGTTTGTCTTGTTTCTACTATATCATAAAATAGTGCAAATCCTACTAAATACCCCAAATGTCACATGTGATACTATGCTGAGGAATGCCATTGGGGTACATCTAGCTTGCCTGTACTAAAACAACGCACTGCAAAAAAAATAAATAAAAAAAATATATATATTTTATGGATTACAAAGATGTCTAAAATCATACATTCAGCATGTGTAGTTAATATGCAGGAACAGAGAGTTTAAAGCCTGCACTAGGATTGTGGTTTGCGTTTGCTGTTTGGAGAGGGCACTGCCAATGACAGTTTCATTTGCACTGACTGACAACAGTTTCCCTGGAGGGCATGTTTGCAAGGGTTACTGCCATGCAAATACAACATGTAAAACCTCTCACTCGTCGAATAGTGGTGCATTCATGCATTGAATAAAAAGGATTCCCTTAACAACCTAAACTTAGAATTGAATGCACACACCTTGTGTAGGTCAAAGCCTTAGAGCTGCACAGTCACTGGGTTTTATTTTATTTCTAGGTCAAAATAGTTGAATTGCAAAGAAATTCTCTAATTCATCTGATTTTTCCAGTTCAGTTATATTGGTATTGGTTTTCAATTCCCATGCCAATTTCTGGTTTAACGAAAAGTATCAGGGGAATACACTAAACTTGAAGCAAATTAAAAATGAAAAGCCAAAACTGAGGGCAAAATGGTTAGACTGCGATTTTGGATTTTAAATATCTTCAATTCATAGTTTAGTGAATAACCCTGCCAGACTGACTCCTGGACTTGTCTCACACATGTGCAGTTTAATGATGTAGTGCTGCTTAGCAATGAATATTATATATACTGATCCAGAACAACCTACCTAATATTGTGTACGTCCCCCTCGTGCTGCCAAAACAGTTGAGGCATGGACTCCACAAGACTCCTCTGAACGTGTCTTGTGGTATCTGGCACCAAGACATTAGCGACATTAGCAGCAGATCCTGCAAGTCCTGCAAACTGCGAGAGGGGGCCTCCATGGATCGGATGTGTTGTTCCAGCACATCCTATGGATGCTCATTCGGATTAAGATCTGGGGAATTTGGAGGCCAAGGCAACACCTTCAAATCTTTGTCATGTTCTTCAAACAATTTTTGAACAATTTTTGCAGTGTGGTATGGTGCATTATCCTGCTGAAAGAAGCCACTGCCATCATGGGACACCATTGCGATAAAGGGGTATATGTGGTCTGCAACAATCTCTAGATTGGTGGTATGTGCCAAAGTAACATCCACATGAATGCCATGACCCAAGGTTTTCTAGCAGAACATTGCCCAGAGCACTGAAACACTGTCTCCACCGGGCTGCCTTCTTCTCATGGTTCATGCTGCTGCCATCTCTTCCCCATGTAAACAATGGACACGCACACGGCCATCCACCTAATCTAAAAGGAAACATGATTCATCAAACCAGGCAACCTTCTTCCATTGCTCCTCGATCCAATTCTTATGCTCACATCACCATTGAAATGCTTTCGGTGGTGGACAGGGGTCATCATGATCACTCAGGGGTCATCATGATTGGTCTGCAGCTACGCAGTCCCACTGTGATGTACTGCACGTGTTTCTATCATGGCCAGCATTACATTTTTCAGCAATTTGAGCTACAGTAGCTCCTCTGTGGGATCGGACCAGATGAGTTAGCCTTCACTTCTCATGTGCATTATTGAGCCTTGGGCACCCATGACCCTGACGCCGGTTCACTGGTTGCCATTTCTTGCACCACTTTGGTAGTTACTAACTGGGAACACCCAGAGATTGTCAGAGTCACTCATTTCTTTTCACTTACTCATTTTGTTTCTGCTTCCAACACATGTAAATCAAGAACTAGCTGTTCACTTGCTGCCTAATATATCCCACCCATTGACAGCTGTGTCATTGTAACAATATAATCAATGCTATTAATATCACCTGCAAGTGGTTTTAATGTTTTTTGGCTGATCAGTATATATATATATATAAACTGTTGAAATTTTTATATATATAAACCTTTAGATTGTAAGCTCGTTTGGGCAGGGCAATCTTTGCCTAAGGTTCCTGTATGTCAATCATGTTTTGTTAGAATTAAATGTTTGTCTTATGTACCCATTGTACAGCACTGCAGAATATGTTGGCACTATAAACATTTTATTGTAATTGTAAGCTAGATAAGTGTTACACATGTGCGCAATATTCTGTATTGCTTCTGACCTGAAGAAAAAAGTCTTAAAAGATTAGTACAATAAAGAAAGTTTCCATCAACATTGCAATCCTCCTGTTATTTACACCACTATCAAAGTAAAACATGATGTAGCTAGACAAAAATTAGTTTAAATAATCTAGTGTATTATCCTTAAGATACCATAAACAAATTTTGTATATCATTAAATAGAAAAAATTACTGGACAAGTTCAGAAGTAATATGGAAGAGTGGGAGCTGATACACCTTTCCTAGCTTAGCAGGGTAGAAATAGTTAAAATTAACCCACTACCAACAATATTTTACCTGTTCCAGACTTTGTCCATTTACCTACATTCTGCTTTTTGTGCCCCATTACACACACTAGTCATTAAATATATTTGGCATAAGGGAGCTATACGCACTAGCTACGCCACAATGACACTGTCAAAGTCTAGGTGGAGCCCAGCTTTCCCAGACTTTTGGCTGTACTACCAAGCCACTCACCGCCTGAGAATTGTGGAATGGTCAAAAGCAGATGTACACAAATTGTGGAAGTGGATATAATTTGACTGGGGAGACCACTCATGGTATGGACCCTGTCATTCATGACACAATTCTGATTTCAACAACTCCTGACATTTCTTAAACATATTCCTCAAAGACCACTTCTTACACATGATCTGATCTAATTCGAATCATTGTGTCTGATCCTCGAGCCATTGGTTCATGGGATCTCATTTCTATGTACTACTCTTCAAGCCCAATTGAGAGCACTACCACCCAGGTTTATATAAAAATGGAAGGAAGCCTTGGGAGTCACGTTTACTCCAGTTCAATGGAAAAAGATATGTAACATCACCCAACACTGTGCACTCTCTAGTGCAATACAAGAATCTGCCTACAAGCCCTTATCATGTCTCTACAGAACCCCACACTTGTTGCACACTATAAACCCAGGGATTAATAACCAGTGCTGGACGTGTCACACAACTGTGGAACCGCTTTACAAGTATTGTGAGACTGTCCAACGATACGTCCCTTTTGAAAGAAAATTCACATCTTAGTTCAGAAATTTTCAGATAATCACCCTTCTTTTTCTCCCAGTGCCCAAGTTACTACACCACAGGATTACACGTACATTGGTGTATAAAACCTCCACGAATATTCTTATACTGATCATAGCCAAAGGTCTTGTCCTCTTGTGCTGGAGAAAACCTACGGCTCCACTGCATAGTCTATGGAGGAACTACGTTCTACAAAGGAGTCGGTCTTTAGAGTGGATGACCACCTACCTGACAATCTGGACCTAATTCATGACATTCACAGACACAGATAAGTACCAAGGGAAACTGAAGTGAGAGCCTAATAGTTAGCAATTCTATTTATTTTTTTAAATGGGAAGGGTGATAGAGAGATAAAACAGGGATATCTCTGTGAGAGGGGATGGTTATAGGGAAAGGTTTGTTATGTTATATCCAGTTATTTTATTGCAAGGTTTCACAATGGAGACCTCTCTGTTGGTTTAATATGAAACACATGCATATCTTGCATGATCTTTACCTGTATCGTAATGCATGAAACAGAATAAAAACTGATTTACCAAAAAAAAAAAACTAAAAAAAAACAGAAAAAAGTTTATAGCGGAATGTCACCTTTTCAAGCAGTTTGGTTGCTTCCAGTACCCGAGACTGTAAGACTCCATTTTCTTTAGTGAGCCACGCACAGTCTTCTGCCATTTTGTTTCTCAAATATTTATCCTCGTCTGCAGACATCTGTTTTTCTTTTAGCTGATGTCTCAGTTTTTCTGCTTCTTTTCTAATATTAAAATAATAGTACAATTAGAGATGTGACTGCAGTTTAAAATATAAATGAAATTATCAAACTATTGGTGTTAAAACACTTAATTACAAATATTGACCATCTTTATAATAAAGATTTTACAAGGCTATAATGATGAGCAGCCTCGAAATAATTGTGTTCATACCGCAGTTCAGATGCGATCTGTTCCTGGACAGACTGAGTGGTCTTTAGATACTGTTCTTCCAGCTGATGTAAAGAGGTCTGGGTCTGTAAGAAATCCATCCTCTTTTCTGCAAGCTGTACCTCTATCTGATGATGTTGGTTCCTATGCTCCTGAAGCTAAACATAAACTAATGTAAACAGCTGGTACAGGCTGGCACAAGATACACCAAAGGAAAATATGCACCCCTCTCCTTTTTAATGCATCTTACGAAACAAAAACCAACAGTAAACGTGCATTTATTGCAATATACGGTACCAGAAAACAGGAGAACATTCTTAGGGGCAGATCTTCTACTGTCCTTCAAATCAACTACAGTACATGCATTGCATCTGCTGAGATTACAGGGAGTGCAGAATTATTAGGCAAATGAGTATTTTGACCACATCATCCTCTTTATGCATGTTGTCTTACTCCAAGCTGTATAGGCTCGAAAGCCTACTACCAATTAAGCATATTAGGTGATGTGCATCTCTGTAATGAGAAAGGGTGTGGTCTAATGACATCAACACCCTATATCAGGTGTGCATAATTATTAGGCAACTTCCTTTGCTTTGGCAAAATGGGTCAAAAGAAGGACTTGACAGGCTCAGAAAAGTCAAAAATAGTGAGATATCTTGCAGAGGGATGCAGCACTTAAAATTGCAAAGCTTCTGAAGCGTGATCATCGAACAATCAAGCGTTTCATTCAAAATAGTCAACAGGGTCGCAAGAAGCGTGTGGAAAAACCAAGGCGCAAAATAACTGCCCATGAACTGAGAAAAGTCAAGCGTGCAGTTGCCACGATGCCACTTGCCACCAGTTTGGCCATATTTCAGAGCTGCAACATCACTGGAGTGCCTAAAAGCACAAGGTGTGCAATACTCAGAGACATGGCCAAGGTAAGAAAGGCTGAAAGACGACCACCACTGAACAAGACACACAAGCTGAAACGTCAAGACTGGGCCAAGAAATATCTCAAGACTGATTTTCTAAGGTTTTATGGACTGATGAAATGAGAGTGAGTCTTGATGGGCCAGATGGATGGGCCCGTGGCTGGATTGGTAAAGGGCAGAGAGCTCCAGTCCCACTCAGACGCCAGCAAGGTGGAGGTGGAGTACTGGTTTGGGCTGGTATCATCAAAGATGAGCTTGTGGGGCCTTTTCGGGTTGAGGATGGAGTCAAGCTCAACTCCCAGTCCTACTGCCAGTTCCTGGAAGACACCTTCTTCAAGCAGTGGTACAGGAAGAAGTCTGCATCCTCAAGAAAAACATGATTTTCATGCAGGACAATGCTCCATCACACGCGTCCAAGTACTCCACAGCGTGGCTGGCAAGAAAGGGTATAAAAGAAGAAAATCTAATGACATGGCCTCCTTGTTCACCTGATCTGAACCCCATTGAGAACCTGTGGTCCATCATCAAATGTGAGATTTACAAGGAGGGAAAAACAGTACACCTCTCTGAACAGTGTCTGGGAGGCTGTGGTTGCTGCTGCACGCAATGTTGATGGTGAACAGATCAAAACACTGACAGAATCCATGGATGGCAGGCTTTTGAGTGTCCTTGCAAAGAAAGGTGGCTATATTGGTCACTGATTTGTTTTTGTTTTGAATGTCAGAAATGTATATTTGTGAATGCTGAGATGTTATATTGGTTTCACTGGTAATAATAAATAATTGAAATGGGTATATATTTGTTTTTTGTTAAGTTGCCTAATAATTATGCACAGTAATAGTCACCTGCACACACAGATATCCCCCTAACATAGCTATAACTAAAAACAAACTAAAACTACTTCCAAAAATATTCAGCTTTGATATTAATGAGTTTTTTGGGTTCATTGAGAACATGGTTGTTGTTCAATAATAAAATTAATCCTCAAAAATACAACTTGCCTAATAATTCTGCACTCCCTGTATTTGTCAGCTGTGCATATTACACTTTTCCAGAGGAACATAAGAAGAGGGTGAAATATTTACACCATACAGACTCTGATGCACTGGCAATAAAGCCAGCATGTTGGCATCGTCAGGAAGGTGTGACATCTGCTGGAAAGAGCACTCAACCAGGCCCAATAGTTTTGGAGGTGGACAAGAGTTTGGAGGGAATATTGGGTGGATGTTACATAATAGTATTGCCAGAAATCCAGAGTGATAGTGATGGTGTCAGCACTGGAGGGGAAGCAAGCACTGAATGAATATCTCCTAAAACAATTCAATATATGTCATCATTATGGTACGCTATATATTCACTGCATGAAAAGATGTTTATTAACTGTCATGACGGGTTTACTTAAAATTCGATTAATAAAGAGGACACATTAGCAATGGCTATTGCATATGGCTACCAAGCATTTAGACATTAGCAAACTGGAGCAAGGCAGTGATTACTTGTGTTTGCAGCAATTTGCACTCCCGATCTTTCTCTTTTACTGTGTAGATGGTGCTGTGAAGCTCTTGATGAATTTTCCCTTGTTTTTCCTCTTTTTGAGCAATGTCTTGCTTAGAAACATCAGCTAGTTTTCGTAGCTGTGTTACATCTTCCAACAGAATTTCCTTTTCTCGCATATTTGCATCTGAGAGGAGAACAATATTATGTAATTGAGTCAATATAGTGTGAGAGTACGATAATCTAAGTAGTTATTGACTTTATAGAGGGGGTGAATAACTAGCCTGTTGTAGTGGTTTTTATGCTAGCAAGCTACAGGCATCCCTCCTAGGTTATGTGTCAAACTGCTTTCAAGCAATTTGACGCAATCCAATGGTCATTGAGGCAGGCCTGTCCCGGCTTCTAGCTTGCCATATTGATAGCTTGGAAGTTACATTCTCCGCATTGAACCAAATTGATTGGCTGAGATTGTGAACTGACACGCTCAGCAAATCAATGCAATCACAATATTAATTAAATTAACAGGCGTTCATCTAACTTCCACAATAGCTACAGAACAATCTAGATACCGTGCCACGGGCTCAAAAATGGTTTGACACAGAATTAGGTACCATAATCACTAAATCAGCCTGTGGTGATTAGAGTGAGCCTTTCATTCCTAGTAAGCCACACTTACTAGATTTGTGACCTCACTTCCAATACTTTATTAAAAGGACACTGTAGTCTCCAGAACAACTACAGCTTATTGAATTTGTTCTGGTGAGTAGACTTATTACCTTCAGATTTTTTGCTGTAAACATTGTCTTTGCAGAGAAAATGCTGTGTTTACATTACAGCCTAGCGATAACTTCACTTCCCACTCCTCAGATGGCTGTTAGAGATCCTTCCTGGGTCATGGCTGCCTAAAATGCATCCAAACATTCAGTGTCTCCACCCTCTGCATGCAGACACTGAACTTTCCTCATAGAGATTCATTGATTCAATTAATCTCTATGAGGAGATGCTGATTGGCCAGGGCTGTGTTTGAATCATGCTGGCTCTGCCCCTTATCTGCCTCCTTGTCTGTCTCAGCCAATACTATGGTGAAGCACTGTGAATGGATCAGGCCACCACTTCTGATGTCAGCAGACTGCTTGTTTTTCTGAGGCAGACAGGGCAGAGCCAGCAGCTTCAGGCTTGAATACAGTAAGATATTTACTATATTTATGGAGGCATGAGGAGCCCAGGGGGGCTAGACGGTGGCTTTAACACTATAGGGTCAGGAATACATGTTTGTGTTCCTGACCCTATAGTGATCCTTTAAGCAATCTCCACTTTAAGCATAGGGAGATGAACAGCAACATAAAGTTGATGATGCCCAAGGAGGCAAACAGTGGCGTACCTACCAGTCGCTTGGATTGCAACTGCGACCGGGCCTGTCACTTCTGGTTGCCTGGCTGGCCTGCCAACTGGCTGACCCCTGCAACCGTGGGCTGACAAAACTTCAGGGCCGGTGCACAGCAGACCCTCCCAATTGAATGTAGCGTGGCCAAGTGGACGCGGTCTAATAGGAAGTACTCACTGAGTGAGCACTTCCTGTGAAACCGGGTACCGCTGTCAGCTCAGAGGAGAGCAGGAAACGGAGGGGGATTGTGGAAAGACACATGGAGTCGTTGGGGGGGAGATGCGGTGGGGAATGAATAATCTAATTCTCCCTATGGCAATTTCTCAGTGTAAAACTTATTCAGACTCAGGAGCGGTGGGGGGAAGAGAGTCGCATGGTGGGTCAGAATAAGACATGGAGGAGCTGGGGGGGATGTTGGAATGAGACACATGGAGGGGTGGGGGGATGAGATATATGTAAGGGTTGGGGGGAACACCGGAGCCTGTGAGCATATAGCCAGATAGGAATGATTGCTGTGGTGGACCAGGATGACCCCCTACCGGTCCAAAGGAGGGAGTAAACCAGAGCTCAACCGTAGCTCGTCTTGTTCATTTCCAGTGAGGAGTTGGGCCGCAATGGATAGCCCGCGCTCTGGGCTCCTGGAGCAAGCCCCTATGGTTGGCAGAGGATGGTAGACGTAGACTGCGCCTTGGACTTGCCATCTTTACAAATGTAATATTTGCATGGCCCAGATGACTAGCCTACAGCTAGATTTGCTTTATTTTGATGCTATCTGAGTGCATGTGCCTTACAGTCACAGTTTTCTTTGCAGTCATGTTTGCATATAATCTTGTGATCATCTGCTTTCTGTAGCGCAAGCCACGATAGATAACCCATATCTAGATGCTGTGGATATGTATTAGCTTGTTTATTTACTCGACTACTTTATTATTATTTTTCTATGGCATAGCCAGTAATCTTCGTGTCTGATGCTTTTTGTTTTTGAATCTCCAACTTTGTCTCACACGGAGACACGTATGTTTAGCATGATACTTCATTAATAGAAAATAGTGCAGCTTTTGTGACATGATGCTTGTCTCTTTGATTGTGAATAATGTCATACTTCCTCGTGTTATTGTCATTTATGCATCTATCTGTACTTCCCTGCACTACAAAAATAAAGAATAAAAAAAAAAAACCTGTCTATGTATGATCTCATGTGACCTTATTACCTGTAATATTTTTCAAGTGCCTGCGCAGAGACTCATTCTCTTCTTTTACAGCACTAATAGTGCCTTCTTTAAGAGTCAGATCCAACTGCATGCTGTCTATGTGAGACTGCAACTCCTGCAAGGGAGACACTTCTAAATTAATACGATTTTATTTGGTAGAATACAGACTACAGAATAAGGAATGATGATAAAGTAAGAAAGGTGAGGACAGGGTTGGTGGCAAGGGAAAAGGCGGGGTGAAAAACAACCAAGTTAATCTCAGAAGCTAAATTCAGCCTAGATGAGTACCAGATAATGAGTGATCCAGTGAAATAGAAGTGGTCCAACACGCCAACCTAGGTGCGTCAGAATAAAGAAAACATAGAGCAGAGAGCTTTACCAGTCCTTAGAGGTGGCCAGGCTAAACACAGTTCCAAGAATGGCCAAACAGTCTAGGAATAGGAAAAGTATAACCAGAAAGAATCAAACGACAAGGGGGACAAAGAAGCACAAAAATGGTATGCAAGCCAAGTTTGGGAGTACAGTAATCCGAAAGCATGTGAAAAGACAAGATGCCAAATGGTCAAATAATCAGAATGCACTTTTGGAAAACACAACAAGGCAATGAGGAATACGAGGAGTGGGTACATACATAAACAAACTCTCATTAGTCGCTGTAATTTCTGAAAACATAGAATGTGCGAACACAGAGCTGCAAGAATGGTTCATTATGGCTGGCGTGGTTATGTACGTACAAGACAGGTGAAGTGCACAAAAATGCAAAATATATCACCACTTTACATACAAAAGAATAAAAATAATAATGATACTTTCACATTAGTAACCTCCACATGTAGATGATCCACAACAAATGTAAAAATAAAAGATGTGTCTATACCTCTAAAGTTTACTAAGGGGTGGGGGAGGGGTATCATTATGCCTTGGTGTGCTGTTTGAAAGTTGTATGTGTTGTGGCTGAATTTTGTGAGTGGAGTCTGAGTGTTGTGTGTGGGTAGGGGTCTCAGTGAAGCTGAGTGTTGTGTGTGCCGAAGGCTGTGTAGTGTTGTGTCTGAGTTTTGGGAAATGTATTTTAATTTTCTCCCTCCTATTTATCCCTTGTGGGTCTGGGTGTTATCCCTTGTGGGTCTGTGAAAGCTATTTTGGGTATGATCCCATGTGGCCTGGACAGGGAAAGCTGGGGTCTTCACTTCTATCATGCTAGATTACTTTAAGAACTCATTCTCAGTATCTTCACTTAATCAAAATTACTGGCTGCTGTGTTCTAAATCATTGACAGTGAATGGGGTGGAACACAGGGGAGCTCCTAAAATGATCTGCACCTGGTATAGGTGCAGACCACAATGCTCAATCAAAGAAGTGATGGGACACAGACAGTGCAAAGCAGGGAGATCTATTGATTTCCCTTCTGGCTCAGAGTGGGCCCCCTCACATACAGAGCCAGAGCACCTGTTTGATCCTGGGTCCTAAGCAGCCTTCTATACCACCCTATGGGTAATTCAGCTCTGAATTTTAGTGCAACGTTGGTTTAATGGGGCTTAAGGTTATCAGTGCAATTCCCCTGAAATTTATCAAGAGAATTAGATCAAACAAATAAAAAGATGTTCCAGTTTAGCTGTAGACATTAAAAACATGTATATTAACTAATTAAGAACAATAAAAGTGTGAACTAGCTGTCTTGATATATTAACTTCAGTAGATATCTTTATAAAAAATATTGTAATTCTTGTCAAAACAAGATGTTTATGGCTATTATAGTCAGTATAGTTGAACATTATAGCCAGTGCAGACATCCAAGGGTGACGGGAGTTTGAGTGATGAGCTATTATTTGTGTTTTAATAGATTTGTATATCACTGGTCTGGGGCACATTCACTAAACTCTGCACTGTCGAGAATGAATTTGTCTGACCAACTGCCAGGTAGTAAAGCAGCAATCAACCACTCCAGATAATATCTTCTCACTGCTCCCAAGTTCAATGCCAGTGAGCTGTACTCGACTCATGCGAATACTTATTCATTAAACATTTCACAATGCAGCAAACAAAGAGATCTGTTGCAGACATTCCATGCAGCGGCTGTTTGGAACTCAGAATTGAGAGTTTTAACTGAGGACTGGTCATTTAGAGGCACTATATAATTCCCCAGCAAACAATCCTGTACTCAGTTGGTGTAGAGTATTGTATAAGTGATGATATAGTGTTGTCCTACCCACTTCCACTTCAAAATGCATTAGTATGCAGAAATATTATGACCAAAGTATTTGAAAAATCATTAAGCTCCATATTACCCGTCAGCATTATGCTGGCAATATTTGGCTAATGAGGAGCTGGATTTCATATACCGCAAGGTACATGGGTAGCTTAAATACCCAAATCTGCCAATTAGAAGAGGACGTTCACATACTTTTTGTCATATGGGGTAATTGTCTTTGTCACACAGGCTTGTGTTCTGCTGTCCGTGGTACTGGAAGTTAATGGCTTATATTCATTAATTTTTCTGTTGCTTAATTATGATGAGGAAAAATAATTATTTGCTATTTATTTCTTTTAATTCTGCTTTTTCAAATTGTTACTAATTAACACAAACCAAGTGAGGTAGTAATTTTATTTAAACACTAGTAGCCTAAGAAGGGATACATCTATACATTTTTTTTATAAAATAGTATATTAAATCGGGCACCAAGATTGCTATATCTGTGATAAATATTAGACTTGTGTAAAAATCCTTTTAACCTGTGACGAACAAATCAAACTCCTGTTAATGGATCGATCTGCCTCGGATTTATGCGATATACCTATTTATTCAAGCATAAATACACAGGAATTTGATTTGTTCGTCACAGGTGAAAAAGATTTGTGCACAAGTCTTATAAATTAGCCTTGTTCATAATTTTGTAAATACTTTGCAATATAGACAGAATCAAAGCTGTACAATAATATGCTCGTAACCCTATTTATACCAACTTTCATTTGTGTGATCATCTGTTCCCCTTCCAGAGTAAGCTTTGGCTGAATACTTGTAGCTTTCCTTGCCTGATTTCTTGTGCAATATTTTGTTAAGGAAAATTAACATGTTTATCATTTTAAGTGCAACTGAGACGATGGTTCTATGGTGGGTTTTTTTAATTGTGTTTTTTTTATTTTAAAGGTATAAAAACTAAATAGTGTTTTGGTCACTGTTGTACATGTGCCCACTATAAACACACTTTCTTGGAATCTTGATATTGCTCAAGGGGATGATTCCTTGTTCCTGTAATATGTTATTGATTTCTGCTTATTGTTGTATTTTATTGCTGTGAATCATGTTTACACTCAAACCTGTATTCTTGTACCACTCTTAACACTGTTCCTATAATTGAAAACCTACAATAAAATTTCAGTTGCAAAAAAAAAGGCGTTATTTACTTTAATTACTTTTCTGAGATGTACATTAAAAAGATTCACGGAAAACAAAGAGTTTATTCCAAATGAAGACATTTCAGTGGATTGCAGCTACGGATTCTAAAGACAATGGAAGTCTAACATACTTGACACTGCGCTCCAATGGACTTGATGTGCACAAATGTGTGAGTGAAAAAGTCATCTTTTTTCTAGGTAGCACAATATTGAAGCTGAAATTATTGATATCTGTTATAAGGGGGAAATTACAATACCATATATGTTTATTGGCGTGTTAAGAGCTGCCGATGAGTACTTTGACAATTATTATCATCTTTTATATCTCCATGTTACAGGCGACAAACAAATCATTTTAAGCTTGCCAAAAAAATTGCCATCAATAACTTTGTGGAACCTATATCAGGGTCAGAGAGGACCATTTTGTCCTGTATTAGGGTGTGCTTGAGCACCACTGGTCTTTATGCATGTCTATTTCAGATTTGTCTGGTTCAGCTATTTTGACATTAAATTTGAATTCCCTGCTTACTTCAGTAAATAACCCTGTTAATGCCATACAACTTTAACAAGCATCATAGGGCTGGGCTCTCTTCAGCTATTATTTTTATTAGCATTTACATACCGCCAACATATTCCACAGCCGTTTTCAAAAACAGAAAGTGAACATGAGGAAGGCTCTACTCAAATTATGATTTATAAGTATATCACTAGATGTCTTGCCCAGAGACAATGACCAGTGATGAAGGTCTGACCAGGGTTCAAAGCTGTGTTTTCCAGTTCCAAAACTGTGACATTACCATACCTCCCTACATTTCAAATGGACAATGAGGGGCACTTTAATTTTACTGGTGCGAGTGTGGGTGTGAACGGTGGCGGGGCTGTTCTGAGAATGCTTAGGTGACTTACTAATAAAAACTTTTGCATCTAAAATGTAATTTAGAACAAGAACAATGTTTCTTATTTACACAGACTGATTTGTAAACACATTTATTGCAGTTTAAAGTAACATTACTGTGAGTTTTATTGCTGTTGAACTTTTATACATTCAGATGCACCAACAAAATGGAGCTCCTAGAAAATAGGGACTGTCCCTCCTAAATAGGGACACTTGGAAGTTATGCATTACCACTGCTCTTACTAGCCTTTATGAAATAAGACATTGGAAGTCAAACGCAGTACACCATCTATTAACCCCAGTGACTGATTGGTGCTATAATATCATAGTAGTAAAGGACCTCTGCTAACTCCAGCCCTGTTCTACATAAACTTTTGTCTTATGGGAAAATCAGTGCTGGAAAAAAAAAAAAGAAGGAAATTACTGGTACATAATGCAGATTTGCACTGATTCATTTTCCTACTTCTTTCTGTATATGGAATTACAAGTCAATCCCATGTTATCTGTAAGAGAGGGGGAGGGGACCTTTTCTGCACATTTGTTCTAAATCTGGCTCTACTTGTGAGGTTTTCTAATCCCTAATCCATTTTTGAGTTTGACTACGCAGCATACAGCTCCTAGTAGCCCAATACATTTATCATCTATTACGCACTGCAAGGGAACTGTGCTTTTAAGAGCAAACTGTCAGTCTAGGTGACATATGATCCTGATGGTGTCATTTTGCATATTAAAATATACTACTCTATATGCTAACCCATTATTTTCTTTGCTTTATGGAATACATATAGATGTTCTCTTTCCTGCCTCTGTGCAGACTGGAGATGTGTTGCAATAACACTATCACCACGCAGACTGTTTTATGAGGGCCCTGAGTGCCTTTTGGGGAGAAATACCAGATAATTACTGTATTTCTTTAAGTGGTCTATTTCCAGATGGAGGAGGTCTTCACACTTAGATTAGATTAGGTTCCAGAAAAAGGAGGAAGGTACATAGAAATGTAAAAGGGGCGTGATTTTACATAAAATACATGATACAATTTGGTTTTTTTTCATGGCTTCCAGGGTAATTCACTAACAATTTGTTTGTCAGGAACTCACCATGGAAATTCTAATTTTAAGTCGGTACATGTTAATATATACATTTCCCCAGCTCAGCAATTTCTTCAGCCCATAATGTGAAAATCTCTTGTTAATTCTTTACAATTCTGTATTCATTGAATAACCCTGCTAGTGTATTATATCAAACTTAGGGCTCATTTCCTTCCTCCTGTTCATAATGGAGCTAAAAAAGTATTGTCAGTCACTAAGTGATAGTGGCTCCATTTTACTGATAGGTTTACACTGTCCACTCCTACATTTAATGTTAATCATGGTCGCATCGCATCCATTAATACTGACCACAATTTAGCATTTACTGTTTTGCAAGTTGAAGAAACATCAAGGGAAAAAAATAATTTTCTAATTAATTGCCATAGGCACAACACCTTTTATGGTGTCCCAGACTCCCAATGCGGCTACTCCACCAGGAGTCAATAGGTCAATGTGATTGCTAAGCAAGCTACCCTTAGTGTTTCCATACATATGATTTTTCACAGGAATATGTTTATAGAGTAAAACGACATACACCATGCTTATAGATATGCTCTAGTGCTTAAATATAGAATGATTTTTTTTTCAATTTACAGGCCTCCCAATAGTCCCTATTGAGGCAGGACAGTTAAGATTTTTGGCTCCTGTCCCGCCTTAGTTTTCTGGTGTCCAGCTTATGGCGACTCCGGGAAATTGATCCCTACAATGGTCTTACGTGCTCCCAACTTGCGTCGTTACAGTTCATAATGAATGCGACGGCGAGGCTCATCTGCACCTCCTACGCCTCACCCTTCTTTCAGTACCTACATTGGCTTCCTGTAAGATATAGGGGTCAATTTAAAATTCTGGTTCTTGCTTTCAAATCTCTACATAATGCTGCTCCCACCTATCTATCCTCCCTAATACACAATTATGTCCCGTATAGGCCCTTACGCTCTGCTGAAGACTTACGTCTATCTTCTGTCCATACTCCCACTTCTAAGACTTCTCGAATGCTGCACCGTTCCTGTGGAGCTCGCTTCCCTCCTCCGTTAGATGCTCACCCAGTCTCCACTCCTTCAAAAATTTATTAAAAACCCACTTCTTCATAAAAGCGTATCAATTAAACTGTTAATAGCTCCCGACTGATTCCTCTCTTGCAACTGTCATTAGTCAAATACTATCCTTACCTTTTGTGTCACTTTACCCCACTCCCTTTAGCATGTAAGCTCATTGAGCTGGGCCCTCAACCCCTCTGTTTCTGTGTGTCCAACCTGTCTGGTTACAACTACATGTCTGTTCGTCCACCCTCTGTAAAGTGCTGGGGAATTTGTTAGCGCTATTTAAATAATAACATAATAATAACAATCATAGCGCGAGTGCAGTGCTGAAACAGTTATCCCTGCAGGCTATTCCCTTAGTGGGCCGGTATTAACACCAGACTGACCTGCCAGTAATGTGGGTGGACACGCCCCCTGTCTAGGTGAGTTTGTCTCCTTTTTGTACAGGTCAGCCCCTTTTGGGTGGAGCTAGTGATAAAATTGCATCACTGGCCTTCCAGTCGGTGTCCCAACCCATCGTTGTCCCAGTTCTGGGACTGCAATGTTGGGAGGTATGAATGTAAGAAGTAAAGAGAGTTTGCAGTCACTAACTTACCTTCTTCTCTTTACACTTAGACATGGTAGGTATACTTTTTAGTCCAACAGCAACAAGGTGGTAAGATTTACCATTTAGTGTGGAAGCTAATTGTTACTTAGCAACTCCTGTTAATCTCTATAAGAGGCTTTAATAATCTTGGCAGCCTCTGATTGACAATTTTTAAAATTGTAGTGGCAAATCGTAACAATAGCAACAGCCATTTCAGAAATGATCGACTCGTCACTAAATTAGTGCAATAAGCATAGTAATGAACCCGTTGTTTTTAAAAATGATCATAATGACAATAAACAACTATAATACAAGTAAAATATATGTGTGGTACACTGAACAGTATACAGTTCTCAAAAAGCGTTTTTAGCCTATCATAGCCACTGAAGTAGGAAAGACTTAAGTTTGGTAATGTAAAATATAATTTGCATGCTATCAGTGCAGCTAAAGTGCTGCAATTTTTAAATATTACAAACAATGAGACGTAGATATAAAAGTTCAACAAATGTTTGCTGTTTTTTTTTCAGCATTATACACAATTCGTATTGTAAATCATCAATAAATAATGATTCCATACATATCAGTGATCAGAATGTTAGAATTCCACCATATGTAAGTAAGACAGATTTATTTAACAAAAGGATATAAAAAATTTGTCTCGAGTTCCAGAAGATTGACTTGTTTCTGAAGATTCTTTATATATTCAGTTTCAATTGACAGAAATGAGTCCATGTTTCTAAAAAAGAACAAAATAGACTTATAATGCATTTGTTAAATATGAATATATGACCATTATGGTACAGTTATAACTGTATGTTTTGTGGGAGGTGGGTTATCCAAGTGTCCTAGAGGAGGAGAAGGCATATGACATGAAATGAGATGAGCTGGGTGACATTTAATAGAAACAAATTCACACCTTGCAATCTAAATTAAAATGAATAAGGAACTTTCACTTAGTCTTGTTAGGGCAGGGCATCTATCATTTAAACCAGCAGATGTTTTGTGGAACTGGATACTTAGTTCGAAATATATTTCTCTGGGCAAAGAAAGGTATTCTTTCTTTATCTGATGGAATTGTGGGCAATTTGCAGTTCTAACTCCAGAGAAGGATGTCAGAGTCCACTCTCTAAAATGCTATCTTATCTGGAAATATGTCTAAAACCTTCAGACTTCATCCCTGCTAACCTGGTGGTCCGACTGTAAACTGATCAGCCATAATATTAAAACCACTGACAGGGGAATAACATTGATTTTATCGTAACAATGGCAAATGTCAAGCGGTGAGATATATTAGGCAGTAAGTGAACAGTCAGTTCTTCAATTTCATGTGTTGGAAGCATTAAAAATGGGCAAGAGAAAAGATCTGAGTGACTTTGACAAAGACCGAATAGTGATGGCTAGACGACTGGATCAGAGCATCTCCAAAACGACAAATCTTGTCTGGTGTTCCCGGTATGGAGTGGAAGGACAATCAGTAAACCAAGGCTCATTGATGTACCTGAGGAGTGAAGACCAGCTCGTCTGTTCCAGTCACACAGAAGAGGTACTGTAGCTCAAATTGCTGAAAAACGTAATGCTGTACATGATAGAAAGGTGTCAGAACACGCAGTGTATCACAGGTAACTGCGTATCGGGCTGCATAGCCACAGACTGGTCAGAGTGCCCACGTTGACCTTAGTCTATCACAGAATGTGCCTTCAATGGAGGCAGAAAGAAAGAAATCTGTTCTCTTATCAGCATTTAGAGTCTCTTCTATAAGGAAAAGGAGGTGGACTCATTATTAGTTACTAGCCACTAGTGACTCCAGCAGATTGGTTATCCCAAACTAATCCAAAGACAATATGACCCAATCTCTTTTAGACCAAGCCACACTTCAATAACAGAAAACAAATCCAAGCTACACCTACATTTTCTTACCATCACCAATGGCTGAAGAAAGTCAGAATTACTTGTATCCTTATAAGAGAGGTATACAGTGTGTAGAGCGCACACATCTAGCTAAACTGACTTGCCACTTTTAATTAGTTTTAATGTTGACACTTAAAATAAACATACTAAAAAAAGGTTTGTATCCTTTTACAGCTCTGACGTCAATGTATTAGTGTCACAATTTGAGTTGGCTTGGGACACACTGGTGGAAACCCACTGACCTAGACTACTTTTTTCCCACTGGATAGCACTTTTTAGTGAATTGAAACTCCAAATATAGGCCAACATAGTTTATTTAAAAAAAAAAAAATATCTGCAATTCAGCTTTAAATACAGCTTGGCAATTTAGCCTAAATTATGCAATTAAATATTCAATTTAACACCATTTTCAGTTTTGTGAATATACTCCTTTATGTTTGGCAGATTCAAAAGCATAGACCCAGATCAGTTCAGGCATGGTCTGGACTTCCATTAGAGCCACAGACTGGAGTGTCATTGACATCACTAAAGGAAGAGTTCTATATCTTATGAGTGAATACGGAATCCTCTTCACAGGTGGCCCTAATTAACTGGTTGGGACTTTGAATATTGTGTCTAATTTAAGCAACTTATAAATTCTTCATGGCATGGTTCAAGACAGTAAGACTTCGATATTTCAAGTAAACCTGGTGACTCCATATAGATAAAATATTACAGGAACATCCTCCCAACAAGCAGTGTGACCTGTAAAGTCCATGTTCTTCTATGCAATATTGTACCCAAACATCAACTTTGTCATTTTCTTAGAAACTAAAATATTGATATGTTTCCAGTATTGAAGAGATTAAGTGACAGTCAAATCACTAAAATCAGTTCATGTTAATCTAAGTTTGGTGAAATAAATACGGCCTCCACAGCATTGTAAATGAAAGCAGGGCATTTATGAGAAATTGTACTGTTTGCAATTTGCAATGTCCACACCTACTAGCAGCTGTCAGTTAGAGAGCCAATAGGGGCATCCAATAGAATGTGATTCAATAACCGAATCTATATAACATCCAGCATCAGCATGCAAAGTATGCTAACACTGGTTGCTGTGTGCGTTCAATGCTTCTCTAGGACGATCATTGTACTGACGGATCACAGAGATTGTCATGCATGTGCTGTGTGTTTCAATAAGTCTCAGTGAAAAGCACCTGACTGGGAATAGTTTAATCTGCAACAGCCCCCCTTTTAATGCACAGCACACAAACCGATTCATGCTTTCATATATGGCTGAAATAACACTTTCACAAGCCTGGTATCTACAAAACTCTTACCTTGAACTAGAAGTCTTTGATCGAGTTTTCAGATCTGTTGTAGTGAGAACTTTCTGTAGTTCTGAAACAGCAGTAAATGACACTTGGTTAACACAAGATTGTGTCAACTACAAATAAAACATTTTCCAATTTTGTGCACTTATTGACATGTAACAGTGTAAGAGACTCTCTCTGCACCAAAACCATGACATCTCAATGTAATGTTTATGGTTCATAGATGCTTCCCCTTTTCTCTTATAGTGTAAAATATAGCTGTTTCTGAGAAATGCAGTGTTTACAATTGAATATATATACATACAATGAATATATCTGTTCCTCAGACCGTATAAACCACTCTCAGCCGACAATTAAGCAGTTAAAACTTTTTTTACTTTATTCCTCACTTACGAGTTAAAAAAAAAATATATATATGGCTCACAGAATAAAAAAATATATATATTGTGCAAATCTATATTTGATTGCTTTACGAGATGTCACTATCTGTTATGTTACCTACTGTCCATCGTGACGGTGCAGTCATGTTCAGAGATCTGTGGCTGGTATACTGTAACACCTACCTTCTGTTTCCACCTTGCTCCCACACCTTCATCGCACAACTAGGCCAAGCTGGGGACAATTCCCTAAGTGGGGCAATTCTCCCTAATGATGCAGACTCACTGGTTTATTGCCAGAGCATTAGATTATCAACAGAGTGACATCAGTTACTTTGTCCAATATGCCCAGAAGTTACATAGTTACATAGTTACATAGCTGAAAAGAGACTTGCGTCCATCAAGTTCAGCCTTCCTCACATTTATTTTTTGCTGTTGATCCAAAAGAAGGCAAAAAACCCAGTTTGAAGCACAATTTTGCAACAAGCTAGGAAAAAAATTCCTTCTTGACCCCAGAATGGCAGTCAGATTTATCCTTGGATCAAGCAGTTATTACCCTACATTGAAAGATTATATCCTTGAATATTCTGTTTTTGCAAGTATGCATCTAGTAGCTGTTTGAACATCTGTATGGACTCTGATAAAACCACTTCTTCAGGCAGAGAATTCCACATTCTTATTGTTCTTACAGTAAAAAACCTTTCCTTTGCCTTAGACGAAATCTTCTTTCTTCCAGTCTAAACGCATGGCCTCGTGTCCTATGTAAAGTCCGGTTTGTGAACAGATTTCCACACAATGGTTTGTATTGGCCCCGAATATATTTGTATAATGTTATCATATCCCCTCTCAGGCGACGTTTTTCTAAACTAAATAGGTTTAAATTTGTTAACCTTTCTTCATAGCCGATA